AGTGTGATTAAATGTTGAATGTGATGAGTTTTCAACAATACTAAATTGAAACTTTATTTTTTTACATGGTTTAATAATTTTTTGTTATTAAAATTGAAGTTCCTGTTTCAAAGCTTACAGATAGATGGCTAATTTGTATGTCATTGACACTTTTGGCACTTTTTTGGAGTATTTTCATAAGTTTTGTTTTTTCCTGTAAATGATTCAATAAATACTGTACCGTGACATTTATACCGAGGTATTACCGTACCGTGAAATTCTGATACCGTTACATCCCTAATACATATATATATATATATATATATATATATATATATACACACACACACACACACACATATATTACACACATATATTATATATATATATATATATATATATATTTGAAAGGCTTTAATATCAATGTGTTATTTAGGAAGTTCTATTCAGTCCCTTGGGCAGGGACTTTTCTCAAAACTTGTGGTATTATTTGCTTAAGTTCCTGTGTTCTCCTGTAAGGACTTGCGAAAGGGACCATATATTACTGTCTACATATTTTGTTATGTACTTTTGTAATCAGTAACTGATCACAATTCATAAGTACTCTACCAAGCTCTGGTAATCACACACACAACTGCACTAGTGGCTAAACTGGGCGCTCGATGTCATCGGTGTAAATAAAGCACTCGAGCAATGAGGAAACATTTCTGCATCATGATGCGAGCAGGATAATTTGTTTAAAGACCACGTCTAATAATATCTCCATGACTCTCCTGTTCCAGAGCCAAGTTTGAGGAGCTTTGTGCGGGGCTGCTGGCCAAGGTGGAGGCTCCCTTGCAAAGCATCATGGAACAAACCAGTGAGTATTATAATGGCGGATTATTTTCTTCCTGTTTACAAGGAATATATTTTAATGTGGGGGCCGAAATCGAATAAATTAGTCTAACCCTCTTCAATTGTACTATTTCCTGTAGAGTTTATGTCTTTTAAATATCTATTAAAGGTTGCTGTTTTTACTCAGCGACTTGTTAGTTTCATTTAATGTTTTATTTATAGTGAGTTTGATATTTTATTTCAGTTAAAGAAAGTGGTTTTTGGCCGCGATTTTTAGTTTTCGTTTACTAAAATAACCTTGCTTGTGATGCGTGTGCTTCCTGCAAAACAGTGAGGGATTTATGATGATGATTTTGTTTTCTTTCCTTTATCAAGGGCTGAAGAAAGAGGACATCTATGCAGTGGAGATCATCGGCGGCGCCTCCAGGATTCCAGCCATTAAAGAGCGAATCAGCAAGTTTTTTGGAAAGGAGTTGAGCACCACGTTGAATCTGGATGAAGCTGTGGCCAGAGGATGTGCACTGCAGGTTGGTGACGTCCTGCGTTTCTCTGTAGGATACTCCTGAAATTATCCTTTAGCGTTATTGACACAACATTATTTGGTGGACATTAACTGAAGTTATTTAATACTTAGCGAGCTGTCTATTAGTAATTAAACCAAAGATGCATCCCAAATCACATACTTGTATGATATTTCTATGCCATTTTGTGGTATAAATAGTACAAGTAGTGCATTCACACTGAAAATTCTAAAAAGACTAAGTGCATTTTGTTAAATACCTAGATCATGCACTTTTAGAAATAAGTGAAACGTCGACAGTCGCAGTTTTGCTCACGAAGGGGTGAAGCTTTTGAGCATTGAGGTTGGCTTTCTACATTTTGGATTGCAAAAGCAAAGTTCTCCTACTTGATTATCCAAATTCTCAAAGGTGATTGCTGTTGTACTCCTAACTAGGTTGCGTCCAGTCAATTTCAACTGTTAAACGTCTCCCTGGAAAAATTTACATTTCAAATGAGTTTGTATTTAGGTTTACATCCCTCTCTTTTGCATTTTAAAGGAATTGCATCATTTGCAAGCTGAAACAATTCTGGTTACATTTAATAACCAGAAATATACCACTATGTTACAAATAAAAACCAATAATAAACTTGCTTTTCCTTCTGAAATTATGCAAATAACAACCTACGATCTCTCCTAATTAAGTCCCCTTTAATAGGCTAACCTTCAATTTACGAAAATCAGTTTATTAATTCCCATATATTCCTGTTAATTCCCGTGGAAACTTTCCAGCTTTGAAAATTGCTAGAATTTTGCAACCCTTCTCATGACCGCTACTATTTGGGAGTTTATTTATTTTCTTATTTTGACAACTGTTACCACAACATTGCTAACACAAACTTACAACATATTTGCATTGCCTTCTCAAATTATACAAATAGCTACCTAGGATGTCTTCCAGTTAAGTGCCCTTTAATAGGCTAACCTTTAACTTAATAAATTCACAGTTTATTCCCATTAATTCCCATATATTTCCATTAATTTCCATGGAAAGTTTCAGGCCTTTCTCATGTTGCAGCTCTACTCATTACTTACAAAAACCAATAATATACTTGCATTGCCTCTCAAAATATACAAATATCAACCTATAATGTCTCCCAATTAAGTGCCCTTTAATAAGCTAACCTTTAACTTACTAAATTTACAGTTTATTCCCATATATTCCCATTAATTTCCATGCAAAGTTTCCGGCCTTACTCGCGTTGCAGGCCTACTTGTAACTAACAAAAAACAATAATATACTTGCATTGCCTTTTGAAAATATGCAAATAGCAACCTACGATGTCTCCTAATCAAGTCCCCTTTAATAGGCTAACCTTCAGTCTACCAAATTCACAGTTTATTCCCATTAATTCCCATATATTCCCATTACATTCCATGAAAGGTTTTCGGGCCTCACTCATGTTGCAGGCCTACTCCGTGTCCCATGAATGCCAACAAACTTAATTGTTTGTCTTTCCCTAGTGTGCAATCCTGTCGCCTGCTTTTAAAGTGCGCGAGTTCTCCATCACAGACGTGGTGCCTTACCCAATCTCTCTGAAGTGGACTTCAGCAGCAGATGAAGGCGTCAGGTACATTATTGCTGCTCTACTTAAAGATTAATTCTGTCAGTTCAACGTTTTAATCATCATGTTGTCTCGTTCTGCAGTGATTGTGAAGTTTTCCCAAAGAATCACGCCGCACCCTTCTCGAAAGTGTTAACTTTCTACCGGAAGGAACCCTTCACCTTGGAGGCCTACTACAACAATCCTAAAGCCCTGCCCTATCCCGATCCTACCATAGGTGTGTAAACTAGACTTCTTCATTTCTACTAAAATGTTAGCGTTTTAAACATCTTAACTTTTCCAAACTACAGTAAACCTTGAAATCAGTTATGCCTAAACAAGACAAGCAGAAATAAGGATTACAGTAAATTGTGCTGCCCTATTGACTAATGTTTGCTTATGCACAGGTCAGTTTACCATCCATAAGGTGGTTCCTCAGGCATCAGGAGAGAGCTCCAAAGTGAAAGTGAAGGTCCGAGTAAATGTTCACGGGGTCTTCAGTGTTTCCAGCGCCTCATTGGTGGAACTGCTGAAACCCGGCGAGGGAGAAGAGCCAATGGAGACGGACACCCCTGCCAAAGACGAAGAGGTAAACACCACATAACACATGGACATGATCTCAATCATTTTTTGTGATTTAATATATATCGCCCATAAATAAAAACCAATTCTTTTTTTAAGAATTACTTTTAGCCTTTTTGCCTTTATTAAGGGGATAGGACAGTATTTCAGACAGGAAGCAAAGTGGGAGAGAGAGAGAGGGGGTAGGGACAGGAAATGTCCTTGAGCCGGGATTCGAATTCGGGACGCCCTGAAGTGTTATTACACCATATGTCAGCGCACTAACCACTAACCCATTACATCTCTATCTCTATTGGATGTATCAGTATAAATAAAAAGCCCTATAGTATTTACTATATAGTATGTACATGTGTATGACATGGGTATTACAATGTAAAGGTGGTTTATGAGGACATATCCAGTGTCCTCATAATTCAAACCTTAGAAATAAGTCAATATAATTAGAATAATACTACTAATGCTGCTATTACTACTACTACTGCTACTAATACTACTATTACTACTAATAATGATGATAATAATAATACATTAAGTATATAGGGTTTGGGTAGGGTGATATAATAAACATTTCTTTCGAGTATAAAATACATTACAGCAATGGAGATTTCTCATAAATCATACTGGGTATGAGGACAAAATGTACAGTCAGTACAGTAAAAAAATCACTACATACACTACCTGACAAAAGTCTTGTTGTTGATTCCACTTGTAAGAGCAACAAATAATATCTTGACTTCTAGTTGATTATTTGGAAAAGTGGCAGAAGGTCACTGTTGATCTGCATCCCAATCATCACACAATACTGCTGAAGACCTACTGGAACCCACATAGACCCAAGATTCTCACAGAAATCTGTTAAGTTTGGTAAAAAAAAAAATCATGGTTTGGGGTTACGTTCAGTATAGGGGGATGCGAGAGATCGACAGAGATCAGGCAACATCAACACCCTGAGGTATCAAGACATTTGTGCTGCCCATTACATTACAAACCACAGGAGAGGGACAATTCTCCAGCGGGATAGTCAATGTGCTTCAGAATTGGCCAGCCCAGTCACCAGACTTGCACATTATTGAGCATGTCTGGAGTAAGATGGAGGTGGCATTGAAGGTGAATCCAAAGAGTCTTGATGAACTCTGGGAGTCCTGCACGGCTTTCTTCTTCATTCCAGATGACTTTATTAATCAGTGATTTGAGTCATGTCAGAGATGTATGGATGCAGTCCTCCAAGCTCATGATGGAGTCAGACACAATATTCATTCTGTCTCCACTGCAGCAGGACTTTATATTCTATACTGGACATTATTTCTGTTCAGTGATGAGACGTTTGTCTCAGCAAAGTCAGACCGCACTGTCCTAATTAAATCATTCAAAATCAAGGCATGATCATATTTTATTTTGGTAAATAAGCGTCATCTCAAGGCCTTTGCCTTTCATATAAGCCACTTCTGATGCCAAATGATCAACTGGAAGTCAAGTTACTATTTGTTGTTTTTAAAACTTGGATATGTGATAAGACTTTGTCAGGTAGTGTATATGGGAAGTCCTCACAAGGATGGGAAACCAGGTGTGTGTATGTGTTTTTATATCCCGATAAGGACTTAAACCTGAATGCATACAGACTTATGTAACTATGTGAACCAAAATAGAGGTAAACATGCTTAAAACGCACACAGAATGAAGTTTTGAAAATGTAAAATAATGTGAATGTAAAGTGATAGTCTTAGCATTGTTTTGGCGTCAACAATGAACATTCGTTGGGCTGTCAGAATACATGAAGTTATGGGTGCTGAGAGCATCTCTTCATTCCTTGCTAAACGATACCGTAGCCTTTTTAAGCTCTTCAGTGTATGTGTGATCACAGACAAATTGAACGTTTATTATATTTGCTCCCAAAAGAACAAGATGCAAGTGGATCAAGAGGCGCAGAAGGCTCAAGCTGATGATCAGAAAGAACAAGCTGACAAGAAATCAGACACTGAAGACATGGAGGTCTGTGAACACTCATGCACAGCAACACCATATGCACAACATTACAGAATGCACCAAAGCATCTTAAAATATCGGTCCCCATTTCTATTAGGTGTCTTTAACTATGATGTGCTGACATTTAATTGATTGTGTAGTGTTCATTTATAATCATACACTGCACTTACTATGCACTCAAATGGTATTGTTGCACTTGTATAGTAATATCTGCTCATAAATTCCTCTTAATTCCAATGTAAGTACTTTGTACCCAAGATACCTTTAAGATGCCCTTGTTATAGTGTAACTATTCTTTAAGTACTGAGTAATATTGATTAATTACATGTTCTTACTATACAGGTTGGGTTATAGAGCTGGTTTAAGGGATAGTTCACCCAAAAAAGAAAGTCTGTCATCATTTACTCACCCTTTACTTGTTCCAAGCCTGTCTTGAGCTTTGTTTTGCAATAGCCCCTTTCACACATACAGACCTTCCTGGAAAATTACCGGCAATTTTCCGGAAAGGTTGTATGTGTGAACAGGCCATTTTTGAAAATACCGGTAAATTCATTCTGGCTATTTTCCGGAAAGAGAAGTTGTAACATTACCGGTAATTTGCTGGAATGCTGCGCTGTGTGAATGCAGAAGGAAGATTGCCGGAAAGAGCGCGTGCACGTCTAGAACGTGCTGACGTGAGATGCCTGCTTTAGCCAATCAGATCAGTCAGATGCATTCACGTCCGCGCGGTTTATGAAAATAAAAGCCTTTGAATATTTTTCCAGACACATTTAGCTGCTAGACGTTAGTCAGATAACGTTTATATGTTTCTTCATAATGCCAACGGTGTAAATAATTATCGATAATGATTATGATAAGCCGTTGTTTGTTTACCTTCAAGCTCTGCGTCGCTTGTGCCCGTAAAGCAGCTGGTGAGCCAGCACACACACACACACACACCCCCACATCATGAACATCTCGACATGCCAAAGTGATTCTCTATATGTTTTCATCGAAGTTGTTCACAACACTGATCCATCCAGAAATTTGTAATGTAGTCAAATGTTTACAAACACAAGCGCAGCCGTTTAGAGGTCATTTCTGGTTAATGATGTCAGAGTTTACCCGTATTTTGGAATGGATGTGTGAACGGTCTTTTCCGGAAAAATTCCGTAACGTCCTCGTCTGTGTGAACAGCGCTTTTTTGAATATACCGGTAAAGTCGTTCCGTAAATTTTCCAGATATTTACCGGTATCACTGTGTGAAAGGGGCTATTGATGAACACAAAGACGAATATTTTGAAGAAAGCTTCAAGCCTGTAATCGTTGACTTGCCAAGTGTTTTCCTACTATGGAAGTCAGTGGTTGTGGGTTTTTGGCTTTTTTTCCAAATATCTTCTTTAGTGTTCAACAGAAAAAAAAAACTTAACTCGTGAAGGATTAAAACCACTCGAGGGAGAGTAAATGGTGTGTAAATTTATGCTTTTGGGTGAACCTTCTTTTTACAAGGATGTACTGCAGAATTGCGTCTCACTATAGTTGTTAAACATGATATTCAGACATCTCAAATCTCCCGGAAGTTCCGGGAGTCTATGCATCTGCGGGACTCATAATGTCAGCAAACGAGTGATAATCTCCCGGAAATCGCGCGTCTTCCTCCTGGTCCTCAAATAAGTTGCGCACCCTTCTCACCCCCAGTAGATCAGCAGTTTCTGAAATACTCAGACCAGCCCGCATGGCACCAACAACCATGTTCAAAGTCACTTAAATCCCCTTTCTTCCCCATTCTGATGCTCGCTTTGAACTGCAGCAGATCGCCTTGATCATGCCTAAATGCATTGAGTGGCTGCCATTTGATTGGCTGATTAGAAATTGCCGTTAATGAGTAGTTACCTAATACAGGTGTACCTAATAAAGTGGCCGTGAGTGTATTTCGTCATTGCTCAAAATGGTTTTATTAAAGTTTATGTTTTTGTAAAATAATAGAAGGAGATTCAAAATTAACCTGCAATTCTAGATTCATCCATATATCTATAAAGAAATACACGCACGCAGGGCCGGCGCTTCCATAGAGGCGACCTAGGCGGCCGCCTAGGGCGGCAGAATAGAGAGGGCAGCGTCCCCGAAACTACCCTCGCCACCCGTGCCCTCATCCGCATCTAGGGTGGCAGAATAGAGAGAGCGGCGTCCCAGAAACTATCCTCGCCACCCGCGCCCACAATTATATCCTTGTCTAGGGTGGCAGAATATAGAGAGCGGCGTCCCCGAAACTACCCTCGCCACCCGCGCCTCAGTTATATCCGCGTCTAGTGCGGCAGAATAGAGAGGGTGGCGTCCCCTAAACTACCCTCGCCACCCGCGCCTCATTTATATCCGCGTCTAGGGCGGCAGAATAGAGAGACCGGCGTCCCCTAAACTACCCTCAGTTATAGCCGCGTCTAGGGCGACAGAATAGACCCCCTCGATTTCACTTTAGGTTTGAGGGTGGCGTGACCATCCATTGCCTAGAGCGGCAGTTCAGCTTGCTCCGGCCCTGCACACACGCGTGTAGTTCAGATGTAAATATTTCAGATTAGATTTCTATATGCAGTCAAAATTAAGTGCGGAATTATATCTCTGACTTTCTCCGATTTCTCTGAGTTTATTACCAGTGTTTCTGAGAAAGTCACACCAAGTGTTTGTTCAAGGATCTTTAGAGAGCTGTATATGTTTGTTGAGAGTGAGGGAAAGCTCTAGAGCAAATGTTTCCCAGAATGCCCTTATATGGAGATTTTAAAGCATGTTTTACGTAAATGTTTAACCTTGTGCATGTGGCTGCTCTTTCATAATGCTCCAGATTCACTGACATTAACACAAGGTTAAGAACAAAGTCTTGCATGTTTGCACTTTTTCTGCGTTAGGTAGATATTTTTTGAGGAAGTTATTAGTGGATGAGACCCAGTGTCTACTTAAATTAGTTTTTTTTAAATGCCATTGTGCCTTCTGTTAGTGTTATTCATATTTTCTGTGTAGCAATTTATTTAACATGTTTTTGCATGTTTATACTGTGTATTCTACTAATTGTACTAACCCTGAACCAACACCTAAACCCAACCTTAACTCGTTCAATACTTTTTTAGTTACGCAAGCGACAGGTACACGCAAGTGCATGTTCTGTAAAATAGCTCAGATATTATGTATGAACCTAGAGCTATTTGAAGAAAACAGACTGTTCCTTTGTGCACAATCAGCATGATTATAAAAGCAAAAAAAAAAAAAAAACGAAATAATATTATCATGCTGCATAACAAGATCTACTTCACAATAAATCTTTCTGATTTAGGGCTCTATTTAAACAATCTGCATGCAAAGTCTAGAGCGCATGGTGCAAAATCATTTAAAAACGTGTTTGAATACACTTGTTATTTTAAAAACTTAAAAATACGCTCCGCACACGATGCAATCGTCTAACAGGGTTGTGCTTAATCCCCTAATGAGTTATGGGCATGTTTTGAGCATAACATGCATTAAACTAATCCGTCTCATCTCACATTCCCTTTAAGAGTCAGTTGAGTCTCACCATGGTGCATTTGCTAATTGCTTGGCAGACTTTGTAAGTGGGAAAACCGACTTCACTAGAGAGAACTCGGTTAAACAGAGCATCTGCAGCACGAGGATAAAGAATGAGCCTCCTCCATTCAGCCTCTTTACTTTCTCTTTACTTTACTTCTTTTGCGAATATGGAAACGGGGGAAACTCACTCCACTGAAGACATCCATTAGCCTACGTATTTAATTTTGTTTCAAAACTATTTCTAAATTCAGTTTGGGATTTCCAACAAACAAGTAAATGAACAATGATAACGAAAAACTGAGTTATATCTAAACACACGTCCTGTTATCCATATATGGTGATGCAGACATCTCCAAACCCCCACAGGCGGACAAATCTACACTTGTGTTTATTAAAACAAATATAAATATGCATATAATAACTAAACCGATAATAATAATAACAACAGATATTTAAAGGATTTTTCTGTGGCGCTTCCATGAAATGCTGTGCTGTTCACATATTGTCTCTTGTGCGCGCATAACACGTGTTTTTAAGGCACGTGGCTTGCACGGACATATTAGAGCAACACGCTCATGTACTCCAGGCACACACAGTTGATAATCGTCTCATGGGTCGCCTACCCACGCTAAAGGAACGCAAGTGCAAAGCATTGTGCAAATGCACCTCGCACTTTCCACACGCTATAAGACGTGATGTATGACTGACAGGTCTTATAAATTACCTGGTTCTTTAATGAAAAGTTTTGAGTAATAACACAAATTAAATCAATTCATCGCTTAAAACAAATATTTGTTTGTGTATTTAGGGGACATTCAGTCTTTAAAATATAAACTATAGCCATTTTTCACTGTCTCCGTCTCCTGGATAATACTTCTAGCTTTAATTATAATGCAATAATTAGGTCTAATTTTTTACGTATTTATTGTGTGCATTACCTCAATTAAAAAATCATTTAATTAAAATGTAAAATTTAAATTAAATTTAATTAGCATTAAATATGACGACAGACATTTAAAGCCTAATTTAAATTTCACAATAGAATAAATTTGAATTGACAATAAGACGTCTTGTATGAGATTGCTAAGAATGACCGCTATGTTAATTCTAGTTGTTACAGAATTCTGGTTGTTTCAGTGTTAGTCTACGTGAGCCAGAAGTTGACATTTCATTATGTTGATGCACTTCCAACTGAATATTGAGTAGGGGGAGGAGCTTTCTTTTGCACATCATACCCTCATAGCAAACTACCGGTAAGAGGGGCGTGGTTTAATATATTAATATGCAGTTGATATGGAACCCCTCAGGTTAACGTCAATAGCGGGATCGGCACTCTAAACCCGGAAGTAAATGATTAGACTTTAAATTGAAGACTACCAAAGCAAACTGTACTTTGTTTAGTGTATTACCTTTCACGTATTAATTGTTCACCTTACGAATAACAATGTGCACTAGCAAAATAGCAATGTAAATGTTTATTGATATTGCTCCCAGTGAAGATCTGTAAATTCACTGTGACTATCATTGTTTTCAGACTTCACCAGAAGACAAACAGGAGAAGAAGAATGATCAGCCTCCACAGGCCAAGAAAGCCAAAGTGAAAACCAAGACGGTGGATCTGCCCATCATGAACAGCCTGCAGTGGCAGCTCGCCAGCGACGCGCTCAATCTCTTCATGGAGAACGAGGTACATCTGTTCATATTAATGATCTGTGGGGTAAAAAGGGATGGTTCACCCCAACATTAACATTTCTTTGACATTTACTCTTTTCTTTATTCTGTTGAACACCAAATAAGATATTCTGACGAATGTTGCAAATGTTGTTGATTTCTGAGTGTGCCTCACACAGGTGAGTGGGCTTGACAAACCACCTGTAGAAACGCTCTCCTCTCCACATGCACCGCACACTTTACTTAAACTCCATCTAAAGGCCGGATCACACTGGGGGATTTTTTATAATCCTGAACGATTTAAGCAAATCAGACTGCATGAACATGGCTCTCATGTCACACTGTAAGATCTCAGCTGTCATAAAGTCAGACTGAACGATGATGAAGAAGTGCCAAACACGAAAGAGCACCACCAGAGCTTGACGTCATTCTTCTGTGACATTTTCACTATCCCGCGTTCTGAAATGATTCCTCACAGCAAATGTAAACTATCTGTAGCGGCAATTTTGCACACAGCGTGTCTCAATGTGTTGATATTTCCCCGCATTTGAATTGTTGCATGGATTGCGTCATCAAATTCGGAGCTGCTATTGGTTCTTGGATTGACGCTCATCGCAGCTGTTGTCACACCACAGGAAAGTTTCTGGAAACTTCTGGCACTGCCAGAACTTCATCGGAGGAAAAATCTGATCACAACAGGCCGTCAGTGAACATGTCAAACCCACGATGAAATGACCACGGATTTTAGCCTAGGATTTCAGGAATCTTTTAGGATTTCCCAAATTTGTCTCGGATGACAGAATCGTGGCTGAAATCTTGCATTCACATGGGGCGTCAACGCTTCCCATTCACTTTAAATGTATGATGTCAGGCGTTGCCGAACTGCGTTGCTCACTGCAGAAGTTGGGACTTGCTCAACTTTACAGCACCGACGGAAGCGCCAGCCAATCAGATCGCTGTATGCAAATACACCAGCTCAGACAGTGGCCTATTGCTGACTAATTTCATTGGCTGACGCTGCTATGATGATCGCGTCAGCCCCAGCTTCACACACGCCCTCTGTCAAGCATTAATGCTGAAGCCCCGTATGAATGGGGCGTTACAGTGTGAGCAGAGCTTTACAAGGATTCCATAAGGAAAGCAATGATTACTTATGAATGTACTGCAAATCATGCAGCACTATTTGTTTTCTTCAACCTAATACCTTTTCTGCACAATATCTTGCACAATATTGCTCTATCTTGAGTAAAAGTACTTGTAGTGTCTATTTTAGGTTATGTTTATAGGTAATTATGTATAGTTAGATTACCGCTCAGGAATGTTAGTTGCTCACTGGCCAGTTTATTAGGTACACTTTACTAGTACCAGGTTGGACCCCTTTTGCCTTCAGAACTGTCTTAATTCTTCATGGCATAGATTCAACAAGGTGCTGGAAATATTCCTTAGAGATTTTGCTCGATGTTGACATGACAGCATCACACAGTTGCTGCAGATTTGTCGGCTGCACAGCTATGATGCCAATCTCCCGTTCCACCACATCCCAAAGGGGCTCTATTGGATTGAGACCTGGTGACTGTGGAGGCCATGAGTACAGTGAACTCATTTTCATATTCAAGAAACCAGTCTGAGATGATTTACGCTTTATGGCATGGTGTGTCATCCTGCTGGAAGTAGCCATCAGAAGACGAGTACACTGTGGTCATAAAGGGATGGACATGGTCAGCAACAATACTCAGGCAGGCTGTGGTGTTGACACGATGCTCAATTGGTACTAATGGGCCCAAAGTGTGCCAAGAAAATCTCCCCCACACCATTACACCACCACCACCAGCCTGAATCGTTGATACAAGGCAGGATGGATCTATGCTTTCATGTTGTTGATGCCATATTCTGACCTTATCATAATGTGGCAGCAGAAATCGAGACTCAATTAGGCAATGTAAATATCTGCTCACTGGATATTTTCTTTTTTCAGATCATTCTCTGTAAACCCTAGAGATGGTTGTGTGAAATCCCAGTAGATCAGCAGTTTCTGAAATACTCAGACCAGCCCGTCTGGCAGCAACAACCATGCCACGTTCAAAGTCACTTAAATCCCCTTTCTTCCCCATTCTGATGCTCTGTTTGATCTGCACCAGATCGTCTTGACCATGTCCACATGCCTAAATGCATTGAGTTGCTGCCAAGTGATTGGCTGATTAGAAATTTGTGTTGCCGAGCAATTAGACAGCTCCATAAACATAAATAAACAATCATAAATATGAACACCACAGTGAACGTAAGAGCCATTGTAAACTCACCAGCATCAGGTAGCACCAGGGTCCTGCAAGACAACATTATCCACTCATTAAGTGGAATGGCACTAAAGCTCAATTTGACTTGGCTTAAAATTGTCATTGACATCCATAGAGGAACAAAAAAAAAATTCATGTCAATGTCTGTTTTTTCCAGCATTATTCAGTATATTCAGTCTTGTGTTCAACAGAGGAAAGAAACTCAAACAGGTTTGCAGGATGAGCAAATGATGACAGCATTTTCATTTTTGTGTGAACTGTCCCTTTAAGCTGTTTATTTTATGTTAAAGGAAAGAAAATCAATTCAGAAAAACAACACTCGTACTCGAGTCACTTTCAAACCAGGCTTTCTGTTGGATTTTCTGTTGGACTCCAGGAAAACCTCTGCTAGAACTGTGTTCTTACTCTGTTTTCTTGTGTACAGGGGAAGATGATCATGCAGGATAAACTGGAGAAAGAAAGGAACGATGCGAAGAACTACGTGGAGGAATACGTTTATGAAATGAGAGATAAACTGCATGGAGTGCTGGAGAACTTTGTCAGCGAGGCGGTGAGTGTCTGCATGTGTTCACTTTAATTCAATGGGACCCATCAGGGATGGTTTCCATTAATCAAAGTTGTCTTTAATTCAGGAGCGCGATTCTTTCTCCCTTAAACTGGAGGACACTGAAAACTGGTTGTATGAAGAAGGAGAGGACCAACAGAAACAAGTGTACATTGACAAACTGGCAGAGTTAAAGGTAAGCCTGGTAGTGGTATTGAGTAATTGACTATTTAAAGTCGGCATGAATTCAAAATGTGCTCTTCTTATTTTTAAAGTGTAGTGCTTGTCATAAACGATGTATCTGTGCACTTCATTATTTTGTACACATTAATTTGCCTCTAGAATCTTTAATTAAACACAACCTTCGCTCCACCCTCGAAGCGACTGTTCTTCACTTCTGGTCACATGGAATGCCTTTAGGGTGGAGCTATCATCCATTTAGGGCGTGTCAATCAGTCATTTTTGGTGGGGCTTTCAGACATTTAGGGCAGAGATATCAGTCATTTAGGGTGGGGTTATCCATCATTAAGGGTGTCAATCAGCCCTTTTGGGTGGGGCTATCAATACTTTGGGGCAGGGCTATCAGTCATTTAGGGTGTGTCAATCAGGCCTTTTGGGTGGGGCTATCAATACTTTTAGGGCAGGGCTATCAGTCATTTAGGATGTCAATCAGTCTTTTTGGGTGGGGCTATTAGAGTTAGGGCGGAGCTATCAGTTATTTAGGGTGGGGTTATCAGTCATTTAGAATGTGTCAATCAGTCCTTTTGGGTGGGGCTATCAATACTTTTAGGGCAGGGCTATCAGTCATTTAGGATGTCAATCAGTCTTTTTGGGTGGGGCTATTATAGTTAAGGCGGAGCTATCAGTTATTTAGGGTGGGGTTATCAGTCATTTAGAATGTGTCAATCAGTCCTTTTGGGTGGGGCTATCAATACTTTTAGGGCAGGTCTATAAGTCATTTAGGATGTTAATCAGTCCTTTTGGGTGGGGCTATTAGAGTTAAGGCGGAGCTATCAGTTATTTAGGGTGGGGTTATCAGTCATTCAGGGTGTGTCAATCAGTCCTTTTGGGTGGGGCTATCAATACGTTTAGGGCAGGGCTATCAGTCATTTAGGGTGTGTCAAGCAGTCCTAATGAGTGGGGCTAACAGATTTTTAGGGCGGAGCTATCATTTCTTCTGGGTGGATCTATCAGACTTTTAGGGTGGGTCAATCAGTCATTTTTTGGCAGGGCTATCAGTCATTTATGGTTGAGCTATAAGTCATTTAGAGTGTGTCAATCAATCGTTTTGGGTGGGGCTATCAGACTTTTAGGGCAGAGCTATCCCTCCCTTGGGTGGAGCTGTTAGTGTCTTAGGGCAGAGATATCAATCCTTTAAGATGGGGCTATGAGTCATTTTGAGCATGTCAGTCGGTCCTTTTGGCTGGGGTTATCAGACTTTTAGGGTGGGTCAATCAGTGCTTTTGGATGGGGCTATCATACATTTAGGGAAGGGCTATCAGTCATTTAGGGCGTGTCAATCAGTCCTTTTTGGTTGGACTATCAGACTTGGGGCAGGGCTTTCAGTCCTTTAGGGTGGGACTATCAGTCATTTAGGGCGTGTTAATCAGTCCTTTTGGCTGGGGCTATCAGACGTTTAGGCCTGAGCTATCAGTCCATTATGGTGGGTCCTTTAGGCTAGGATGTGTCAATCAGTCCTTATGAGTGGGACTATCAAACCTGGGCAGAGCTATCAGTACTTTGGGGCTGGGCTATCATTTAATTAGGGTGTGTCAATCAGGTCTTATGGGTGTGTCAATCAGTCTGTTAGGGTGGAGCTATCAGTCGTTTAGGGATATCTGTTCATGACTCTTTTCTAAACTGCCTTTGGCCATTTGTCAGTTTTTCTCCATTTTGTTAACAAAACCGATTTTCCAAGGATCCAATCGCTTCCCAAAGGACGAAATCATGCAGCACTCTCCATTTTTGTCATATTAGGGAAGAAGGGCAATCATAACTTCTGTTTCATGCAACTTTAAACCCATCAAAATGAATAATAAAGTGAATGAATAAATAAAATCCCTTTGCTTCTAGAAACTGGGTGATCCTATTCAGAGCCGATACATTGAGGCGGAGGTGCGACCTAAAGCTTTCGAGGAGCTCGGAAGACAAATCCAGCTGTACATGAAAGTTGTAGAGGCTTTTAAAGCAAAGGTAAGCAGCAGACAATACTCATTCATTCATTTATACAGCACTTTATACAATATCACTAGTAGTTTTCTTTGTTTTTTTTTGTGGTCAGTCTTTACAGTAAGATTCAGAACCCCCATTGTTTTTTATTGACATGTTAACGTCTGGATCAATGTCTCTGCCTCAGGATGAGCTGTATGATCATCTGGATGAGCTGGAGATGGTGAAGGTGGAGAAGCAGGTGAATGATGCCATGACCTGGATGAACAACAAAATGAACCTGCAGAGCAAACAGAGTCTCAGCCAGGACCCCGCCGTTAAAGTGCAAGAGATCCAGACCAAAACAAAGGTACGAACTCAACAGAAGATGCTTGATTTGCGGATCATGGATTATCCAAACACAATCCTGGCCAAATGGCAATTCTAAGTTTCTTTGGATTTATGACTTATTGTCAATACTAACATGCCGACAGGACATTTCTATGTCTGGAATAGAAATGACATTACTGGTAAAATAAAGCATCTCCACTTTAAAAAAATCTAACTAAATTTTTTTTATTTAATGAAATAATTCATCATTATTAAAATTAGTTTTGGCTTTCAGTTTTCGCCCAAGTGCTTCTCGGATTTGTAGTATCAGTTTTCGCCCAAGTGCATCTCGAATTTGTTTTTAGATTACGCCCAATTGCGTCTCGAATTTTGCATTCCAGTTTTCGCTTAAGTGCATCTCGAATTTGGGTTTCAGTTTTTGCTCAAGTGCATCTCGAATTTGGGTTTTAGTTTACGCCCAAGTGCATCTCAAATTTTGGGTTTTAGTTTTTGCTCAAGTGCATCTCGAATATTGACTTCCAGTTTTCGCTTAAGTGCATCTCGAATTTTGGGTCTCAGTTTTCACCCTAGTGCGTCTTGAATTTTGGGTTTGTTTTTGGCCAAGTGCATCCTAAATTTGTAGTTTCAGTTTCGTTCAAGTGCATCTCTAATTTGGGTTTCCGTTTTCACCCAAGTGCATCTCGAATTTGTTTTTAGATTACGCCCAAGTGCGTTTCGAATTCTGGATTCCAGTTTTCGCTTCAGTGCATCTCGAATTTGGGTTTTAGTTTTCGCTTAAGTGCATCTCGAATTTGGGTTTTAGTTTACACCCAAGTGCATCTCGAATTTGGGTTTTAGTTTACGCCCAAGTGCATCTCGAATTTGGGTTTTAGTTTTTGCTCAAGTGCATCTCGAATTTTGGATTCCAGTTTTCGCTTAAATGCATCTCGAATTTGGTTTTTAGATTACGCCCAAGTGCATCTCGAATTTTGCATTCCAGTTTTCGCTTAAGTGCATCTCAAATTTGGGTTTCAGTTTTTGCTCAAGTGCATCTCGAATTTGGGTTTTAGTTTACGCCCAAGTGCATCTCAAATTTTGGGTTTTAGTTTTTGCTCAAGTGCATCTCGAATATTGACTTCCAGTTTTCGCTTAAGTGCATCTCGAATTTTGGGTCTCAGTTTTCACCCTAGTGCGTCTTGAATTTTGGGTTTGTTTTTGGCCAAGTGCATCCTAAATTTGTAGTTTCAGTTTCGTTCAAGTGCATCTCTAATTTGGGTTTCCGTTTTCACCCAAGTGCATCTCGAATTTGTTTTTAGATTACGCCCAAGTGCGTTTCGAATTCTGGATTCCAGTTTTCGCTTCAGTGCATCTCGAATTTGGGTTTTAGTTTTCGCTTAAGTGCATCTCGAATTTGGGTTTTAGTTTACACCCAAGTGCATCTCGAATTTGGGTTTTAGTTTACGCCCAAGTGCATCTCGAATTTGGGTTTTAGTTTTTGCTCAAGTGCATCTCGAATTTTGGATTCCAGTTTTCGCTTAAATGCATCTCGAATTTGGTTTTTAGATTACGCCCAAGTGCATCTCGAATTTTGCATTCCAGTTTTCGCTTAAGTGCATCTCAAATTTGGGTTTCAGTTTTTGCTCAAGTGCATCTCGAATTTGGGTTTTAGTTTACACCCAAGTGCATCTCGAATTTGGTTTTTAGATTACGCTCAAGTGCATCTCGAATTTTGCATTCCAGTTTTCGCTTAAGTGCATCACGAATTTGAGTTTTAGTTTACACCCAAGTGCATCTCAAATTTTGGGTTTTAGTTTTTGCTCAAGTGCATCTCGAATATTGACTTCCAGTTTTCGCTTAAGTGCATCTCGAGTTTTTGGGTTTTAGTTTACGCCCAAGTGCATCTCGAATTTTGGGTCTCAGTTTTCACCCCAGTGCGTCTTGAATTTGTAGATTCAGTTTTTACCCAAGTCCATTTCAAATTTTGGGTTCCAATTTTCGCCAAAGTCCATCTCAAATTTTTGGTCTCAGTTTTCGCCGAAGTTCAACTCAAATTTTTAGTTTCAGTTTTCACCCAAGTGCCTCTCGAATTTTTTGTTTCAGTTTTCCAAGTGCATCTCAAATTTTGGGTGTCAGTTTTTGCTTAAGTCTGTCACTAATTTTTTGTTTTAGTTTTCACCCAAGTGCATACAGAATTCACGATTTCGGCCCAGACTTTTCATTTCAGTGTATTTCTAATGTTTCACAAACCTGCATGTCCTCTTGAGAACTGCATTTCCTAACTATCTCTATTGTCATACAGGAGCTGTACTCCGCTTGCAATCCCGTTGTCACCAAATCCAAACCTAAAGTAGAGCCTCCAAAAGAGGAGACGGCAGCCGAACAGAACGGCCCCGTGAACGGACAGCAGCCTTCAGACGCTCAGCCAGAGAAATCTCCAGAAAACACAGAGGCCAAACTTCCCGAAATGGACATTGACTAAATCTGCTCGACCTCTTCTGTGTGCGTCCAGCCTCTCTCACGCCTCAGAAACAAACAAATGTACACTGATTTTGTTGAAGCCGGCTTCGAAACTCAGCCAATGCTCTCTTGCTTTCGATGCCGTTTATCTTGTTTTTGTTTGTTTGTTTGCGGTTTAAAACAGGAGACCAGGATCCTTTTTTTTAGTTCTTCATCAATTAAAAAGCAGAACAGGATGAGAACCCGACCTCCTCATTTTGGAGATGCTTAGCATTGAAGATTTAAAGCACTTAGACTATCTACACAAGTGAAATACTTGGCGATAAAAGCACGGAAATGCTGGAGAAGCGGATGTTGAGCTGACAGAAGAGCGTTTGAGGCATGTATGCGCTGTATGTTGATGTAGATCTGCAGTGTTTGATCGTGAGCGGTGCGTTTGCCTGTTTGTTTGTTTTTCTTTTCCTTTTCTACCTGTAACAAGTGGAGACCAATTGGGTGTTCACTCCAGTCGCAAATATAATAATAATAAGAATGATAATAAACCATTTTTGGTATACAGACAAAGGGATTTATTGGAATGTAAAGCTCCTCGAGGATATATTTGGATGTACATACTGGTTTACTGTAATTTATAGTGTCAGTTTACTGCGGTGAAATAAAAACAGATGAAGGTATTTAATATCAAAATGGACTGAGCTTTCGCCAAACCATTATTGTCATCAAAATATGATCAATTTGAATGCAACATATATGATAAATGTCATAATAGTTAAGGATTATAACTCTCAAATACAGTTAAATTATTCGCCCTCCTGTATATTTTCCTATAATTTCTGTTTAACGCATTTCTAAACATAATAGTCTTAATAACTCATTTCTAATAACTGATTTCTTTTCTCTTTGCCATGATGACAGCACATAATATTTCAGTAGATATTTACAAGATACTAGTATTCAGCTTAAAGTGACATTTAAAGGCTTAACTAGGGCAATTAAGCAATTTAGGGTAACTAGGCAAGTCATTGTATAACAGTGGTTTGTTCTGTAGACAATCTAAAATAAATATAGCTTAAGGGCGTAATAGTATTGACCTTAAAATAGCTTTAAAAAAACGTAAAACTGCTTTTATTCTAGCCGAAATAAAACAAACAAGACTTTCTCCAGAAGATAAAATATTATAGAAAATACTGTGAACAATTTCTGAATCTGTTAAACATCATTTGGGAAATGTTTGATTAAAAAAAAAAATCTCAAGAGGAATAATTTAAATTTTCACTGTATATTGTAAACAATCAGTCTTGTATTTATAGAGTAAACGGTATGAAATTGTTTTCCTTATTTCTAAATGTATGTATTACTACAGTAATGTAAAGTATACGTTCTGTTTTTGAACTATACTAATATGAAGTGTATTATACTGTACACCAGGGGTCCTTAACCCTGCTCCTGGAGATCGACCTTCCTAAAGAGTTCAGCTCCAACCCTGAACAAACACACCTGAATCAATTACTGACCTGAACAACACTTGATGATTACAGGCAGGTGTGTTTAATATGGGTTGCAACTGAAATCTGCAGGAAGGTCGATCTCCAGGAACAGGGTATGTCAACCCTGCTGTACACTCACCGGCCACTTTATTAGGTACACCTGTCTACAGGCTTACTAATATTGGACATTAGAAGATTGGAGAAACGTTGCCTGGTCTGATGAGTCTCGATTTCTGCTGCAGCATTCGGATGGTCGGGTCAGAATTTGGCATCAACAACATGAAAGTATGGATCCATTCTTTCTTGCATCCACAGTTCAGGCTGGTGGTGTAATGGTGTGGGGGAGATTTTCTTGGCACATTTTGAGCACATTAGTACCAATTGAGCATCGTGTCACAGCCTGCCTGAGTATTGCTGCTGACCATGTCCATCCCTTTATGAGCACAGTGTCTCCATCTTCTGCTGTCTACTTCCAGCAGGATAACACTCCATATCATAAAGCGTGAATCATCTCAGACTGCTGTCTTGAACATGATGATGAGTTCACTGTATTTAAATGGCCTCCACAGTCACCAGAGCTCAATCCAATAGAGCACATTTGGGATTTGATGGAATGGGAGATTCACATCATGGATGTGCAAATCTGCAGCAACTGTGTGATGCTGTCATGTCAATATGGAGCAAAATCAAAGTCTGTTCTGAACGCGGCTACGCAAAGTCTAAAATAGTTCAAATAAATAAGCAAAACCTTTCCCTAACACATGGTTCTGGTTTTGGGGGAAACCATTTTCAATTATTATTTAATTAAGAGAACATTCCCAGAAAGTTCCCTGTGCAACATTGGTATTTTACCCACCTAATTGTTATAAAATTTTTACATTAGTATTCTGAATTCATTCATCTTCATTGGGCTCAGTTCATTCATCAGAGGTCGCCACAGCGGAATGAACCGCCAACTTATCCAGCATATATATTACACAGCAGATGCCTTTCTAGCCAAACCCAGTACTGGGAAACATCCATACACATTCATTCACACACTATGGCCAATTTAGTATATTCAATTCCCCTATAGCGCATGTGTTAGGACTGTGGAAACCGGAGCACACGGAGGAAACCCACACCAACACGAGGAGAACATGCAAACTCCACACAGAAAAGCCAACTGAGCCAGCTGGAACTCCAACCAGTGAGCTTCCTGCTGTGAGGCGACAGTGCTAACCACTGAGCCACCGTGTCACCCTTTGTGTTATCTTTGACTAATATTATTATTAGTTTGATGATCTAGAAACACATCTGCAAAAAAACTAAGAAATCAATAAGGGGCAAACACTTTCATAGCACTATTTAAAGAGCTTTTTATAGTACTGTCTGTAGGGGGAATCGCATTGTGCAGAGGATGAGGCTATAAATACACAACCAATTAGCATGTCTTTGCATCCAGCGAATACAACATCAACCCCCTCAAAAGGTGTCAAGACATGCGATTTCACACCACCTTTCATTTCGGAGCATTTCCTGTTTGGTCGAGTGTTTTGCATGGTCCACATTTTGAAAACAGCTGTTCTGAAAAGCCGACTCACTGATTTACACATCTCTTGACACCTTGGGGGTGTTTGTTTGCAATTGCCGGGGTCAAAGAGATGTAAACTGGTTGTGTATTCTTAACAGGAAGCAGTCGGGTTAGATTTTGGGGGCCCCTGATACATTTCTATTGGTCCTGCCCTATGTTTGCTGTGCTTTTTTGTGATTGATTAGCATGTTTGTTTGATGTGATTAAGCTTGTTGGTGGTTTTCTATTCGCATGTGTTTTTAAACTCTCTCAGTCACCGAAATTTACTAACTAATCAGGAAAATTCTCAGACCATTTTGACCTGCCAAAGCTTCTGATTAGGCAGAAAATAGCCTACAGAGACTAATAACTCATTTGATTGCCCTAACAAAGAGGGATATGAGTATGATGTGGGGTATGATATGGTGCAGAAATCTTATTAATAAACAGCTAGGATGATTTAACAGCTTAAAACACTTTATTAATAACCAGTTAGGATGACTTTACAGTGCAGAATACCTTATTAATGATGTTACAGTGCCAATTATCATATTAATAACCAGACAGGATGATTTTACAGTGTGAAATACCTTATTACAGTGTAAAATACCTTATTAATAACCAGACAGGATGATTTTACAGTGTAAAATACCTTATTACAGTGTAAAATACCTTATTAATAACCAGACAGGATGATTTTACAGTGTGAAATACCTTATAACAGTGTAAAATACCTCATTAATAACCAGACAGGATGATTTTACAGTGTAAAATACCTTATTAATAACCAAACAGGATGATTTTAAAGTGTGAAATACCTTATTACAGTGTAAAATACCTCATTAATAACCAGACAGGATGATTTTACAGTGTGAAATACCTTATTACAGTGTAAAATACCTTATTAATAACCAGACAGGATGATTTTACAGTGTAAAATACCTTATTACAGAGTAAAATACCTTATTAATAACCAGACAGGATGATTTTACAGTGTGAAATACCTTATAACAGTGTAAAATACCTCATTAATAACCAGACAGGATGATTTTACAGTGTAAAATACCTTATTAATAACCAGACAGGATGATTTTACAGTGTGAAATACCTTATAACAGTGTAAAATACCTCATTAATAACCAGACAGGATGATTTTACAGTGTGAAATACCTTATTACAGTGTAAAATACCTTATTAATAACCAGACAGGATGATTTTACAGTGTGAAATACCATATTACAGTGTAAAATACCTTATTAATAACCAGACAGGATGATTTTACAGTGTAAAATACCTTATTAATAACCAGACAGGATGATTTTACAGTGTGAAATACCTTATAACAGTGTAAAATACCTCATTAATAACCAGACAGGATGATTTTACAGTGTGAAATACCTTATTACAGTGTAAAATACCTTATTAATAACCAGACAGGATGATTTTACAGTGTGAAATACCATATTACAGTGTAAAATACCTTATTAATAACCAGACAGGATGATTTTACAGTGTAAAATACCTTATTAATAACCAGACAGGATTATTTTACAGTGTGAAATACCTTATTACAGTGTAAAATACCTCATTAATAACCAGACAGGATGATTTTACAGTGTGAAATACCTTATTACAGTGTAAAATTACCTTATTAATAACCAGACAGGATGATTTTACAGTGTGAAATACCTTATTACAGTGTAAAAGTACCTTATAAATAACCAGACAGGATGATTTTACAGTGTGAAATACCTTATTACAGTGTAAAATACCTTATTAGTAACCAGACAGGATGATTTTACAGTGTGAAATACCTTATTACAGTGTAAAATACCTCATTAATAACCAGACAGGATGATTTTACAGTGTAAAATACCTTATTAATGATTTTTAAAGTGCAAAATATCCTATTAATAACCAGGTTGGATGATTTTACAGTGCAAAATACCTCATCAAATTGTTTATACCACAATTAAATAAACTGGTAGATGGTTTTACAGTGCAAAATACCTCATTAATGATGCAAAATACCTTATTTATAACCAGGTAGGGTGATTTTACAGTACAAAATATCTTATTAATAATTTTACAGCGCAAAACACTTTATTAATACCCAGGTTGGATGATTTTATAGCATAAAATACCTCATCAAATTGTCTATACCACAATTAAATAAACTGGTAGTTGATTTTACAGTACAAAATACCTTATTATTGATTCTAAAGGGCAAAATACTTTACTAATAACCAGATAGGATACTTTTACAGTGCAAAATACCTCATTAATAACCAGATAGAATGATTTTGCAGTGCAAATTACCTCACCAGATTGTCTATATTACAGTTAAATAAACTGGTAGATGATTTTACAGTGCGAAATATCTTATTAATGGTTAAACAGTGCAAAATACATTTATTAATTACAAGGTAGGATGATTTTACAGTGCAAAACATCTCATCAGATTGTCTATACTACAATTAAATAAACTAACGGATGATTTTACAGTGCAAAATACCTTATTAATGATGCAAAATATTTTATTAATAATCAGATAGGATGATTTTACAGCGCATAATACATTATTAATAACCAGGCAGGACGATTTTACAGTGCAAAATACCTCACCAGATTGTCTACCACAATAAAACTGTTAAATGATTTTACAGTGAAAAATATCTTATTAATGAATTTATAGTGCAAAATACCTTATTAATATCCAGGTAGGATTATTTCACAGGTGTTTGACACTGTAGGTCGAAAATTAAATAAATTATATGGTTTAAATAATAAACAGCCCTGTATTTGTGACACATTCACCCGTATGACTCCAATATCCTGCGCATTTTTCTAAAATATAGTCATTATTATTACTTTAAAGACAACTTTATTTTATCAATGTTAACAACTTACATGTTAACCCATAACTTACAGCTGAACGATTCTGCAGAACCCCCGAGTCAAAAGGGAACGTGCAGTCCAGCATGATTCAGTTTTACCGTAAACCACCAAATACACACGGATCCATGAAGTCGTGCCAATTTCAGACGTCAAATGCTTACATCAGAGACAAATAGAAACACCCTTTATCTGACATAAAGAGTCGCTTGTTTTTAATATGGAGGCGGATATTTTCGTCAAGTAAGGACTAGATGAGATTATGTTCGTTTGCGATGTGCTTGGGAATGCGGATGCGCAGCTATCAGAAGGGTTGCGGGTGCGTGTGGAAAGTGTCGAGAAGGGTCTTCTGTACGTGGCAGCCACTAAAGAATCACTGCAAGACCATCTGAAACATAGCGGACGAGTGTTTATTAAACTCCTGTAGTAGAGCTGTCCCCTCACATGGTCCTTTCAAACCAAAATTAATAATAAATTTGAGCCGTTTTTACATTAAGGTAAGTGGGTTGTTTTGATTTGTATTAGAACTGCGCGCTGTACTTACGTTACTACTACAGCATAACGTTAATGCGTTATAGCGTTACCTGTGATTTCTGACATTTATATAACGTTTATTAGAGAAATATGTTGTTTTAATTGTTTTTATTTAAGCTAGTGTCGCTTTTAATCGACTGTCATGCATTTTAGAGCTGTATGGTATTAGCAAGTGGTAGTTTAAGTTGTAAAACGGTGTTTCTATCGTAAACACTGGTAAAGTATGTATGATATGTTGCTTTAATTTTATGATTTTAACACATTTAATTTACTTGTTGGTTTGTTTTAGAATAATTTCTGAATTTTAGAGATATATTTGGAGTTGTTTTTGACTTTCTGCAGGTGTTAAATCATTTTTGGCACGAATCTACTGTAAATTATTAAGTTTAATCAACTTATTTTTTTATAAAAACGAGCATACATCAGTGATTGAGTGTAGCTGAATGTATGTTTTTTTTCTATGAAGAGTTTTGCTGAAGCTCAAACTTTAGCCGCATGTTTCTGCTGCTGTGGGTGGAGAGGACATTTTCTAGAATATGTCGTCATCAGTCTCTTGAGCTCCTTTCAGACTTTTTCTTTTTTCTTAATAATATAGATTGGAGAAAAGCTTGGTTGTTGCCTCATAAATACTTCCTTCCTAATAAAACTAAAGAAATCCACTTTAAAATATTGCATAAAATAAATCCGGCTAACTCATTTGTTTCCATATACTGTATGTTGATATTCCGAGTAGTTGTATATTTTGTGGTAAGGATGATGAAACTTTAATACATTTATTTTGTACGTGTGAATTTGTTCAGAATTTTTGGTTTGACCTCTATTGTTATTTAAACACCCCTCCTAGCTTTGCACAATCTTTTAGTTTGAAAGAAATTATTTGTTATTACTCAGAATCTTCACATAAATCTAAAGAATTTATCTTCAACTTTTTAATCTTGTTTTATACATAAGCAAAAATGCATGGCTTCAGTCCCTACTTTTCGACATTTTCTGACTGAAGTTGACTCACTGCTCAAATCTTTCCATATATGTAAAAACAAAAAATGTGTCAGATTCCTGGTTCTATATGAAGAACTGTTGTCTACGGACTCTGATTTGAGGTAGAACGCTTTCCCAATGCTCTTAATTTAATTTCATACACTTTTATACAATTGTAATTTATTCACCCCTTCCTTTGTTTTGTTAATCTCTTTTTTTTTCTCTTTCTGCAGCTAATGTAATTTGTATTTTTCTCCTTTGTTTGTCTCTTATATCGGTCTCCTGGTTGTGGTTGTATATTTGCATTCTTTAATAAAAAAAAAAAAAAAAAAAACTTTTTCATTTCTTTTTTTTTTGTTTTTTTTTTTTTGTTGTTGTTTGGAGGTCATGTTAGTTTGTTCCTAAAGTTTAAGGGTGCTTTCACACCTACACTTTTATTTCGGAACGTGTTTCGTTTGCCCAGTTAGCACAGTTCGTTTGGCATATGTGAACAGGGCAATAACGCTCTGTTCCGCGCCAAAGTAATCACTCCGAGATCGCTTGAATGAGGTGGTCTCGGCTCGATTGAAACGAACCCTGGAGCGTTTCGATTACAGTGAGAAAGCGATCCGATCCAAGCGCGGTTATATCACAGTGTTTTATGGATATGTAATAGGCATACGGCTATATGAAGAGAGAATTATGAGTAGGGCTGGAAGTTTCGCGAGTCTCCGGATGCCCGCAAACGAGTGATGATCTCCCGGTAATCTCGCGTCTCCCTCCCGGTCCTCAAATAGGCATCGTCACCCTACCCCCCCGCATTTCTCCTCAGACACATCGTGCGTGCACACTGTCAATCACCACCAGACCACCACCTCTCCTGACAGCTGAGCGGGACGCTGCAAAATAAACCCTGACACTCTGACCAATGTGAGGAGAGTTTACTCGCACGTGACTTGTTTTAGCTATTTTGGTCCGATTAGAAACTTTGCAGTGTGAAAGCGAACCGCTCCAAGAGCAAAGAGCAACAATGTAACAATTGTAATCTCTGTTTCAGAACAACTGAATCGATTCACAGGTGTGAAAGCAGCAGAAACAAATCTGTTTTTTTTTAAAGACTGGTGGGAGAGAGGTATTTGGTCTGTTGTCCATCTATTAGACAAAGAGGGTGAGGTTCTGAGTCACATAAATGTTTGTGAAAAATATAACATTTAATGTGATTATAAGTGGGCATGGGCCGGTATAAGATTCTGACAGTATGATAACCTTTGATAAAAATATCCCGGTATTGTGCTTACTGCTTTAAAATATCTTCTTTTTAAATGTCTGGGTAAAAAGAAAAATGTCCCCCTTCGAAAACAATATATTTTATTTTTTGAAAGATTTATGATATTTTGGAGCAGTAAACATGTCAGGCTAATTATTTCAAATGAATCATTGACTTCTGCTGTCTTTATTTGTTTAAAAAGCACATTTCTTTACAATTTAAAACTGCTTCATTGAATTTTTGTTCTGCTGAAGATACCGTTGTCCTAAAAAACAAAACAAAACAAAACAAAAAAAGTAAATAAAAAAACCATACACCTACCTTAGGAATGGTATTACAGAAAATTTTGGCGGTTTTAAAACCCTGACTTTTCCAAACCGCGGTTATCGTCCCATGCCTAATCATAAGCAACACTTCCCACAGGTTTAACATACACTTGCGGTGGTAGCCAGATTGACACACACCATTTAATAAACATCACATAAATAGCTAACTATATGCAACAAACAAAACATAATTAAATTTTTTATTTGTTATGAAACTGTTATACACTAATTATTTTTAATGGGTTAAAGTAGAAAAAAAACTGTTGAAATAAAATGGAAATCCACTATTTCTCACACTTTTATGCTATTCAGAAGCCATGTGCACCCACTGACAGGTAAAACCTGCTTCTCTCTATCTCAAGTTCAAAGCAAAGTTGAATGCCAAAGCATTTAAGATATGTACATAAAATAGCGGGCATCACGGTGGTGAGTGGGTAGAACGATAGCCTCACAGCAAGAGGGTCGCTGGGTCAGTTGGCATTTCTGTGTGGAGTGTGCAAGTTCTCCCATTCTTCGCATGGGTTTCCTCCAGGTGCTCCGGTTTCCCCCACAGTCCAAACACATGCGCTATTGGTGAATTGAATAAGCTAAATTGGCTGTAGTGTATGTGTGTGAATGAGTGTGTATGGGTGTTTCCCAGAGTTGGGTTGCAGCTGGAAGGGCATCCGCTGCGTGAAACGTATGCTGGATAAGTTGGCGGTTCATTCCGCTGTGGACTAAGCTGAAAATAAAATGAATAAATAACATAACATATATAATATTATATCTGTAATATATATACAATATTTAATATTTTGGCTGGAATAAAAAATATTTCAAAAATGTAAACTGTTAAAATCAATATTATTAACCCCCTTCAGTTCAATTCAAATGGGATCCTGGTTTTGCTCACTGGTGTTTTTCAGGTGATCTTGTCGTTTGAATGACTCTAGTGAATCAGCAGTCTGTGTGGCAATGGAAAGATCATTCCACCAGTGAGGAACTGTGAATGAAAATGGTTTGGAAAGTGACTTATATGTCTGACCAAATTTGGTAGTATGTAATTTTTTAGGTATAAGTTTAAGGTATTTATCAGTCAAGCAATTGAACAAACAAACTATTTGGTCATACAGATATTAGCCAGGGGTTGCTTATTTGTCTTTATATTATAGTCTAGTCCAGGGGTCACCAACCTTTTGGAAACTGAGAGCTACTTCTTGAGAACCGATTAGTGTGAAGGGCTACCACTTATTAAATATTACATTTTTCTTAATTTACTTTTAATTATATGTTATTATTAATAATTAATAATATACATCTATTGTGAAGACATTGATCATGTTAAGGATTTCTCACAGTAGTTGTCAACAATGACTTATCAAGTTAGATAAATATCAATATGCAACACTTAATTTGTCTGAAATTGTTTTAAAAGTTTTTTTTTTAAATATATAACAAAGTAATTTTCAAATTTACACCAATGCAAGTGTGATTTAAAAAGAATACCTATTAAAATATTAGATGCAGCTTACTTTGGTGAGCTATTTTTAGAACAGGCCCGTGGTGACCCCTGGTCTAGTCTCTGGATAAATGTATATCAGGTTATTTCTATTTCTTCATCCTCGATATCAGTTCTGATTATATGTGATTTTATGAATTGACTTTTAACTTAAACTTGTCTTGCATTAAGTTTATTATTACACACATTTGGACATTTTTAATGTAGTTTTACTTTTGAATAGTGACGTCTATGGTTAACGTCTGTGTCTCGCATTAATGAAACAATCATTAGACTGAATATGTTTGTCCCAGATTTATTTAAGGTAATCTGGCTACTGAAAGTATACACTTCTATGATTGCTTAGTAACATGCCATGTTTTCTGTGTTTTGTTTTTCCTAAAAAAAAGTTTGCAGCTGTTTCTTGACCCAATTTTGGTGAAGCACCAAAGAGCTTTTTTGACCTCGCTTTAATAAGCAGTCTTCAGTAGTAAACCAGCTTAATACACACGTGTGTAGTTTTGCTGCTCTTATAACTCCAGATATATCTTTAAATCAAACCAGTGTGTTGCCTACAAAATCTATTTATAACGAACGCCGCAATTTCCATTTAAAGATTTTGGGTTATTTCAATGGCATCTGCACATTTCTGAAATGTCTGTCTGGTTTCTTTTGTAGGTTTTTCTCAACCATGGCGGCATTTCTGGTGTTTCTGCTGTCGACTCTGAGCTTCTCTTCTCCCACGCGTGCAGAAATCTTTACCTCAATTGGTAAACTTTATGCAGACACAACAAGAAAACCATTTGACAATTGATTTATTCAGAGCCGTGTAAATACTGTAGATTTATAATAACAACATCACCACAATGCTTTCTGAAACTTTCTCATTAGTCTAAATAATTTGTCAGTAGTTTTTAAAAATCTTATTTAACACAGTAACTATAGGGGTGTGCAATATAGATAAAAACAACGCAAACCTCATATTGAATTCAGCTGAAATATTTGGAAATTTTGATTTTGGCTGCAAATCAATGAATTTGGGCACTCTGGTCCACTCATCTAAAGAATGTAGAAGCCAATATGGCAAATTATAGCCAAAACATATTATGTTGATCACTTTTGATCTTTTTTTAAGACATTTTAGTCTCGTTTTTTTCACCAAATTTAATTTTGATGTAGTCCCTGTTTATATCCAATAATCTCCACATCGTCTTCCTCTCGTCTTAAGGCCTTTGCACACAAAGGTCTGAAATTTGTATGTGTTTTTTTTAATTCAGATCTGAAACATAGCTTTTGCTCACGCACAATTGCATCACAACCCAGAGAATATATCCAACCCGGGCTCATTGTGGAAACGTGTGGATCCGCAAGAGGCCGCTGTACGCGCTTTTCCGCGTCTTGAGCGCCTCTCGGGAGCGCGCGCCATTCGCGCCCACGCTGTTCTCGTGTGAAAAGCCTCCGGAGGCCGCTGTGGAGCGACCGTCCGTCCGATTTGCTGGCTGAACGACTAAACGATAGACCGGGCGGCCGGCCAATCAGCCGACCCGGCCGCCCTCCTCTTCCTCCTCCTTCCCTAAACCCAAGCGACGGTTTGCAAAAGCGGTCCAGAAAAAAAAAGCCCTCGTCTTTGATTTCGACCGTGTTTTCGGATCCCGCCACGTTCTCGCCCTTATTTTTTGGATTCTGTTTTTCATCTTACCTGATTACCGGAACCGCTCCTCCTCGGACCCGATCCCGGTCGTCCCCGCGGCCGGCTCCTTCTCCTCCGGCCGACGTAACACTGTGAGCTAATCGGACAAACTGGTTGCATCGGGAAAGCCCTCCACTCGTCAGCCCGTCAGACAGCGAATGCGATGAGGAGGAGTGGAGCGGCGCCACACCGCCCCGCAGCGTTCGCTCGAAAAAAACTAAACGTGGCCATACGTACCTCCGGCCACATAAATCGCGGTCTCCAGAAACGTCCGCGGGGCTACGTTTCCAGAATGAGCTTGGGTTGAATTTATCACTTTAAACTATTAAAAATGGTCATAAAAGTAACTTTTTCCAACTTTTAAAGGTTAAAAGGTGCATCAAGGTCCAATAATGCAACTCAGAAGCATAAATAAATGGAGAAAAATAAAAACATGAATCACAAAATACGAAAAACTCATGGACATTTTTTACAATGTACTTCAGTTTAGCATGCATTTATCAGTCACTGACTTCTACAGTTATGTCTGATTTTGCAAAAAAGTTTCGATTATTTAAATAAAACGTGCCGTAACATATTAAGGCTGATTTATACCTCTGCTTCAAGCGCACGCATATGGTCCGGCGCAGTCTTCGTGCTGTTGCATAGCCCTCACCACGTTTGATGTCAACGCTGATACGAACCTCTCAAAAAATGTAACTAGACAGCGAAGCGACACGTAGTGCGAGCTCAGTGATTGGTCGGCTTTGTAGCCTGATGGAGCGAGTGTTTACATGTGTAGAGTCCAGTGAGGGAGCTCTAGATGGAAATTTTTGTGTAAAATATGATTAAAGTTGTTGCACGTCTGCCGGTTTCCGCCTGAGCGAGTTTGAGCTACTTGTATATAAAGGGAGCGTTCAGTAAAAATAAAACACCTGCGAAGAAACTAAACAGAGAGGAACATAAGCACCTACTGCCAGCTAGCGTTCCGGAAGTGTTGTTGCAGAGTAACACACACAGAAGTATAAATGCACGACTACGCGCAAGGCAGGCGCCAAGGGTCACGCTGATCACTTGACGCAGAAGTGTAAACCAACCTTTATGAAGCAGAGATACCCAAACTAGGGCCAAAGACAGCCCATGGTATCTTTTTTCAGGCCCACCATCCCCTCTGAGGCCCCGTTTACACTAGTGCGTTTTAGTTTTAAAACGGCGTTGTAGAATGAAAACGATCCGCGTCCAAACTCGCGTTTTACCCAGCGTTTCTGAACAGCTCTCCGTCCACACCAAAACGCTGAAAACGCACATCACTTGACCACACACACACTCTTGAGCAAGCGCTCCAGCATTTCTACCCAGATGAGAGCTCTGCTTGTCGGACTGCTCATCACGCATCTCCCGCTGGATCTAATCTCACTATATTTGCTAAACGTGATATTTCATTCATGTTGTTGTCTTTATCTAACGACATAGGCCAATTCCCTGACTTTGGTCATTGGAATCTATTAAGTTACTTGTTCACGGGTAACATGTTTTGGTTAAGCGCAAAGATAAGTTAATGATTAATCCAGGTACATTGACTGATCGCTTGCCTTTATTTCCTACAATGTATAAACTTATTGTATGTTATACTTTTATAATTATCGATTATTAAAACTGATATTCAGCAGAAGAGAGGGTGTGTTTCGTATTTTCACTGAAATTGAAAGGAGGCAGTTGTTATCGGCTCCGTTTTGTTAAAAATATCCACACAGTGAAGATGACGCTCATATATGCAGCACGACGCCTCAACATTTCTGCTGTCTGTTAAGTTGCTAATATTAAAAAGAAAATAGGCAGTTCCTTAAATCATGTTTACATTTTATTGTTGAGAAAGGGAAACAACATAGCCAAGGTGATGTAAATGAAGTTATAAAGTTACACTGTTCCCTTTGAAGATTCACCCGTGTCCTCGGTATGTTTTCCATATCAAACTGAGAAGGGGGAGACTGCAGCCTTGATCAAACTTGCGAAGTCTGAACTTATAAGAAGAGGATGCGAGACTGAACTGTGTGTGGGCTACTTAATATTGAGGAAAAGCCCCAATCAGAGAGGCGAACGTCTGCAGCCCCGCCTCCGTTTTCAGATGTCTCCGTCTTTCCCCATCCACACTGAGACGGAGCAGCAGCGTTTTAGAATGAAAACGGCCTCTCCAGTGTTTTCAAAAAGCTCAGTTTTCGGCGCTCGAGAACTCCGGCGTAGTGTGGACGGATGGCGTAACCGTAGCAAAACTTATGCGTTTTCAAACTAAAACGCACTAGTGTAAACGGGGCTTGAGATAAGATAATAATGGGGATGGGTTAGAGATTGTCATTTCAAATCTAATGTAACCTTTTGTTTGTTTTATTGTCAAACGCTGACTAAAATTAAGCGTTTTAATTAAAGGGTAAATGCAAATGTAGATTCAACTTGACTAGCGTATTCTGCATTCAAATCCACTGTGATATAAATTTTTATTGCAAAAAGTTATCATTTAACAGTTATACTGCATTAATTGATACAATTTAAAGTAATGTTTTCTATTATTATTATTATTATGAAATAAATTAGGAAACTACCTATGGCAAATTGAATGTAATATAGTTTGGTTAAATTTACCTTTGGCCCATGGCTCTCAATAATATATATTTTTGGCCCTTCATACAACAAAGTTTGGGAATTCCTGGCATAAAGCTATTTTTCTACTCTTTTTCACAGGCCAAATGACCAACCTCATATTCACCGAGCGGGAACTTGTCCAGTCCCTGAAAGAATACATTCAAGCAGAGGAGCAGAAGCTTGAAACTGTCAGGAGGTGAGTCTGTCTGTTTCTGAAATGCAAGTTTTTGCATGACGGCACATGAAGCCGTGACTCATTTCTGTGTGTGTTTGGTGCTGTGTGTCTTCTCCATCTGCTGGCTCCAGCTGGGCTAATAAACTGGATAAGTTGACGCGTACATCCACATCAGATCCTGAAGGCTTCCTGGCTCACCCGGTGAACGCTTATAAACTGATGAAGAGACTCAACACAGAGTGGTCCGAGTTAGAGAGCCTGGTGCTTCAGGACCCGTCTGATGGTACAGTATTGTGTATATAAACTATTAAGCCTCCTGTGAAGTTAACTGTTTTTCAAATGTCATGTTTTTGAAAATAGTAAGAGCATTTTTCTATTATATTGTTTTTTTCTTGTGGAGAAACATTTTTTTCTTTTAGTTTAGCTGGACTCGCCCTCCTGTTTTTCCCCCCTAATTTCTATTTAACGGAGAGATTTTTTTCAACACAATTTTAAACATTAATAGTTTTAATATCTTATTTCTAATAACTGATTTCTTTTAACTTTGCCATGATGACAGCACATAATATTTGACTAGATATTTCTCAAGATACTAGTTGTCAGGGTTCTGCCACTCTGGTCTTGTAATTTCTTGTTTTGGTGGCAGAGTCCTATGGAATAAAATCACTGTCATAAATATTTCGTGTGTAAATAAAATTCACGCATCCGTAATTATAATATCGTAACGGAAAACGGAGCGTACTCGTAATTTTACGAGGGTACAATTCCAAAATCTGCGATTAGAACAGACACAGATACGACACTTTCTTTGTCTGTTTGTTTATGGTAAAGGTGACTTAGGCCCCGTTTACACTAGTGCGTTTTAGTTTGAAAACGCATAAGTTTTGCTACGGTTTCTAAAACGCTGCTGCTCCGTCTCAGTGTGGATGGGGAAAGACGGAGACATCTGAAAACGGAGGCGGGGCTGCAAACGTTCGCTGATTGGGGCTTTTCCTCAATATTAAGTAGCCCACACACAGTTCAGTCTCGCATCCTCTTCTTATAAGTTCAGACTTCGCAAGTTTGATCAAGGCTGCAGTCTCCCCCTTCTCAGTTTGATATGGAAAACATACCGAGGACACGGGTAAATCTTCAAAGGGAACAGTGTACTTTATAACTTCATTTACATCACCTTGGCTACGTTGTTTCACTTTCTCAACAATAAAATGTAAACATGATTTAAGGAACTGCCTATTTTCTTTTTAATATTAGCAACTTAACAGACAGCAGAAATGTTGAGGCGTCGTGCTGCATATATGAGCGTCATCTTCACTGTGTGGATAATTAAAAACAAAACGGAGCTGATAACAACTGCCTCTTTTCAATTTCAGTGAAAATACGAAACGCACCCTCTCTTTTGCTGAATATCAATTTTAATAATCGATAATTATAAAAGTATAACATACAATAAGTTTATACATTGTAGGAAATAAAGGCAAGCGATCAGTCAATGTACCTGGATTAATCATTAACTTATCTTTGCGCTTAACCAAAACATGTTACCCGTGAACAAGTAACTTAATAGATTCCAATGACCAAAGTCAGGGAATTGGCCTATGTCGTTAGATAAAGACAACAACATGAATGAAATATCACGTTTAGCAAATATAGCGAGATTAGATCCAGTGGGAGATGCGTGATGAGCAGTCCGACAAGCAGAGCTCTCATCTGGGTAAAAATGCTGGAGCGCTTGCCCGAGAGTGTGTGTGTGGTCACGTGATGTGCGTTTTCAGCGTTTTGGTGTGGACGGAGAGCTGTTCAGAAACGCTGGGTAAAACGCAAGTGTGGACGCGGATCGTTTTCATTCTACAACGCCGTTTTAAAACTAAAACGCACTAGTGTAAACGGGGCCTTAATCAACAGATGTCATGTTATAGTTAACAGTGTTTATTGATTCACTGATACTGCGCTCGCTGCCTGTAATGTTAACTTACATTATGCTAGCTCACTATCCTCGGCCCATTCTAAATTTTGATTCTGTAAAATGTCCAAGAAACACAGCGAAAATGGACCTCATTAAGTCCCAACCTTTATTACAGCTCATGACGGACATTTCTCAAAGAGGGAATAACCAAACTATTACCTGAGACGGTGTGTGGGGGCTCTGAGTGCCCTGCAGGCGCACCATTGTGATCGATGGCTCTCGCTTGTTTATTAATGCCTGTGACAGCGGTGACGTAATTTTGAGAGTGTCGCTGTTTGATTTGTATTCGTAATCAGGTTGTCCTGTTCGTGATGAAACTCTGTTTCGTGTTTGTAAAGTACACCCATCGTAAATTTATCAGTCGTATACAAACAGACAAAGAAAATGTCGTATCTCTGTGTCTGTTCTGATCGCAGATTTTGGAATTGTACCCTCGTAAAATTACGAGTACGCTCCGTTTTCCTTTACGATTTTATAGTTACGGATGCGTGAGTTATTAACGCATGAAATATTTATGACAGTGATTTTATTCCATAGAGTCCGGACACTAGGGCTGCGTCCGAAAGCGCATACTTCCATACTATATAGTATGCTAAAATCAGTATGCGAGCCGAGTAGTATGTCCGAATTCATAGAATTCGAAAAACAGCATGCAAGAAGTACCCGGATGACTTACTACTTCCGGCGAGATTCTAGAGTGCGCATCCCGTGCATGCTGCGCTATCCCATGATGCCCCGCGAGCAAATTCATGAATGGGGGTAAAGCGACGCAACTGACGCAGGCAGGTCACGTGACCATGACAAAATGGCGGATGTAGTACGTTCGAATTCCATTCATACTTTTCACGTTCATACTGTATAAAACATACTTTTCTAACGGCCGAGTAGTACGTTTACATTCAAATGCAGTACCTACTGTGTAGTAGGCGGTTTCGGACGCAGCCTAGCTCTGTCTTGTCCTGTTTCTGTCATTGTGTGTGTCTCTGTGTCTCATTGTGTGTCGTGGGTGTGCGCAGAGCGTGCGCGCTCCCGCTTGATGCGGCCGCGCGGGCTCTGTGCGTGCCTCGGACGCGTGGTTTTGTACTCGTGTTTGTGTTCTGTTCTGTCGGCATCGCTCTGTTTCATTCTCAGCGTCTCCGTCTAGTTGGTTTCGGTTTTGGTTGACGCTGAGAAGAAGCATGTGCGTTGCATATGTGTGAGCGCACGGTAAGGTCGTGTGCTCATGTCTTGCGTCTATCGTGTCTTGCAGTCCAAACACATGCGCCGTGAATTGTCTGTAGTGTGAGTGAATGAGAGTGTATGGGTGTTTCCCAGTGTTGGGTTGCAGCAGGAAGGACATCCGCTGCGTAAAACATATGCTGGATAAGTTGGCGGTTCATCCCGCCGTGGTAACCCCTGATTAATAAAGGGACTAAGCCGAAAAGAAAATGAATGAATGCCTGCACACCTTAAACTGGTAGTGTGTACAGTATATTTAGCAGCTTATATTTTAAAAGGTTTTAAATGGTCTTCAATCATATTTGGCCTGCTTTGAGATCTCCACCAGTTCTAACACGTTTGCTTCAGACTAAATCACTTGTCATATCTTAAAAGGCAGCTTAGAGATAATGCCAAAAGATAAAACCGTATATCAGTAACCACACCACAAAATTACAGTGCGCTATAAACACACAGCTATCATAAAGCTACGGTTCCAACCAGGTCGTTATCTTTGATTATAGCATCCTACAACACTACAAATGACCCAGACCTAAACAAACAACCCTTTTCAAATGTTTTCCAAGTGCTGTTTAGCGGAGAGAAGATTTGAACACAATTTTCAACATAATTTCATGCTTTAATAACTAATTACTAGCTCATTTCTGTTGTCTTTGCCATGATGACGGTTCATAATATTTTACAGTTGAAGTCACAATCATTCGCCCCTTCTGTTAATTTTTTTATATTTCCCAAACTATATTTAACAGATTCAGGAATTTTTCACAGTATTTCCTATAATATTTTTTCCTCTGGAGAAAGTCTATTTCGGCTAGAATAAAAGCAGTTTTTAATTTTTAAAAATCATTTTAAGGTCAATATTATTAGCCCCCTTACATCAATTTCATAATAAAACTACATACCGTTATTAAAGCTTCAGCGATTAATCGCAACAAGAAAATGTGATGTGATCATAAGGCCCGTCTCAGCTGAATGTGGACTTGTGTGTGCATGTGTTGCTACATGTTGCCACGTGGAGTTCTGGAGAATGTTTCCACTTAAATGATCATCAAGAATGAGAGAGATAGATAATACACAGAGACATCAGCACAAGTTTGGTGAAGTGTTATTACTAAGGCTGTCAGTTGGTTAACATTCATTCATTCATTCATTTTCTTGTCGGCTTAATCCCTTTATTAATCTGGGGTCGCCACAGCAGAATGAACCACCAACTTATCCAGCAAGCGGATGCCCTTCCAGCCACAACCCATCTCTGGAAAACATCCACACACACATTCACACACACACACTCATACACTACGGACAATTTAGCCTACCTGTACCACATGTCTTTGGACTGTGGGAAAACCGGAGCACCCGGAGGAAATCCACACGAACGCAGGGAGAACATGCAAACTCCTCACAGAAACACCAACTGAGCCGAGGCTCGAACCAGCGACCCAGTGAACTTCTTGCTGTGAGGCGACAGCACTACCTACTGCGCCACTGCTTCGCCCCAGTTGGTTAACATTTATAAGCTAATTAATTTCACAATGCAAACTGACAGAAATTACCCCCAAAATCCCCAATTGTTATATTTTATTATTCTTACATAATAAGGTTCAATATTTCAATAACACAAACCTTTTTAGCATCTTAATTGGTATCAATATTTACAAGGATTGGACAATGTAACTGAAACCCCTGTTTTTAGACCCCAGTTATTCATTAGTATGGTGTAGGACCTCCTTTTGCGGCCTGTACAGCATTAGATCACATTGGGAATTACAGATACAAGTCCTGCACAGTGGCCGGAGTGATTTTAAACCTGCTCTTCTTACAGAATAGTTGCCAGGTCACTACATGATGCTGGTGGAGGAAAAAAGTTTTGCTCCTCCAAAACACCCCAAAGTGGCTCAATAATATGTAGATCTGTGACTGTGCAGGCCATGGAAGATGTTCAACTTCACTTTCATGTTCCTCCAACCACTCTGGATATTTTGGGACTGGCACAGATGGATGGTTAAGCTGACTGAAAAAAGACTTGATTTGAACCGTTGGGTGCACATGGTCTTTCAGAATGGTTTGGTGGTAGCATAAGTATTGGGCCTAGGGAATACCATGATATTGCAGCTAAACCATCACTGGTCCACCCCCATGCATCACTGTAGGCATGCAGCAGTCTGGGTGGTGCGCTTCTTTGGGGCTTCTCCGCACTATAACTCACCCGCATGTAGGTAAGACAGTGAAGGTGGACTCATCAGAGAACAATACATGCTTCAAATTGTCCAAAGCTTAAGGTTTTCGCTGCTGGTACCAATGAAACTGATGGTTAGCATTGCGTGAGTGATTAAAGGTTTAGCTATAGCAGCCCAGGCATGTATATTGACCCTTTGGAGCTCCAGATTAACAGTTTTGGTGAAAATGGGAGAGTTAAGATGTATATTTAATTCTGCAATGAGTTGGGGGGGGGGGGGGGTAATAATGGATAATAATGCACCAATACACACAGTAAGTCTGGTGGTTGGATGAACATTGTATCTGCTAAACATGTGTGACAGCTCTATTTGTTTTTCTTTATTTGTCCTGTGGTGTGAAGGCTTCATCTCCAACATGTCGGTGCACAGACAGTATTTCCCAGATGAGGAGGATGAGAAGGGAGCAGCCAAAGCTCTTCTGCGTCTGCAGGACACCTATAAACTGGACGCAGAGAGTTTCTCCAAAGGCAAACTGCCAGGTCAGAGGCAGCACTCGGGTAACTCCAGCTCTGACTTCACTATGTGTTCAACAGTCTTATGGAAGTCTGTTTTATGGAAGGATGCAAATATATCGTTTCAATATCCAGTTTTCAAAACAGTCAATTTTAATTTTAAATTATAATAACTCTATAATCATTTATAAATCACAACTTTATATCTCACTTTAGGTTATATCTCTCTTTAAATATAAACACAATAACTGGACAAATAACATATTAAATACACCAGTGTTATTATATTTATGCATTACTGATTTTTCACAGTGTAAGTAAAAAAAGTGCATGCACACATGCGTTAATAAATAAATACATGCATACATAAATTAATAAATAAATAAATATGTATAACCAAATCAATAAATGAATGCATATATATATATATATATATATATATATATAGTTGAAGTCAGAATTATTAGCCCCCCCTTTAAAAAAAATTCTGTTTTAAATATTTCCCAAGTGATGTTTAACAGAGCAAGGAAATTTTTACAGTATGTCTGATAATGTTTTTTCTTCTGAAGAAAGTCTTATTTGTTTTATTTTGGTTAGAATAAAAGCAGTTTTAAATTTTTCAAAAAATATTTTATGGTCACTATTATTAGCAATATTATACAGAACAAACCACTGTTATACAATAACTTGCATAATTACCCTAACTTGCCTAGTTAACCTAATTAACCTAGTTAAGCCTTTAAATGACACTTTAAACTTTGTAGAAGTTTCTTGATAAATATCTAGTCAAATGTTATGTGCTGTCATCATGGCAAAGGTAAAATAAATCAGTTATTAGAAATGAGTTATTAAAAAATCTTCTCTACATTAAACAGAAATTGGGAAAAAAATAAACAGGAGAGCTAATAATTATAGAGTTCAACTCTATATGTATATAAACGTGCAGCCCTACATGCATTAATAAATAAATAAATACATGCAATCATCAATTAAAAAATAAATACTTATATAAATAAATGTGCGTGCATACATGCATCAATAAATAAACAAATTATTGAATTAACATGGAGAATTAATACATACAAATACAAATAAAAAATATGGTCATGCATACATGCATGAATAAATAAACAAATATGTGCATACATACATGCAAAAATAAATAAATAAATATGTGCGTGCATACATGCATTAATAAATAAACAAATGCATTTATACATAAACAAAAAAAAAAATGCCAATATAAATAGATAAATACGTGCATGCATACATATGCAAATAAATAAATTTGGTCATGTATACACGCATTAATAAGTAAATAAATGCATGCATACATGAATAAATGAATATATAAATAAATAAATGCATAAATTAATAAGTTTTTGTAATAAATTGAATAATAAAAAAGGTAAAAATTAACAAAATGACAAAAAAAATTGCTAATGTTTAAGCAAAAACAGAAATATAAATACAGATAAAACAGTAAATTGATGCAGAACATGACAAAATGATAAGGAAACAAAAGTGTTTACAAAAGACTTATAGAGTACCACCAGGTTAAACCGGGGCCTAATAACACAGAAATCCATGCTAATGATCTTGATGCTGATTGGCTGTGTATGGTTGTTACTTCAGGAGTGCGTTACAATGCTCTGCTGACGGTGGACGACTGCTTCGACATGGGGAAAATGGCCTACAACGACAACGACTACTATCATTCAGTGCTGTGGATGCAGCAGTCGCTCAGACAGATGGACTCTGGAGAAGAAGCCAAAACACCGAAAGCAGATGTGCTGGATTATCTCAGTTACTCTGTCTATCAGATGGGGGATCTGCCACGAGCCATCGAGCTTACCAGACGCCTGCTAGCCATCGGTAACCGCAGCATCAACATCCACATCACTACATTTATTTACTTTATTTACTTGCAATTATAATTATTTATTTGTGTATTTATTTGCTTGCTATTATATTTATTTATTTACTTTATTTATTTACATGCAATTATATTCATTTTAATAATGGGACTAAGCCGACAAGAAAATGAATGAATTATTTAACTTATTTCATTTATTTACTTGCAATTATGTTTATTTATTTTATTTAATTATTTAATTTATTTACTTGCAATAATATTTATTTTTTTGTATTTATTTATTAGCTTGCTATTATAATTATTTATTTATATTACAATTTTTAACATATTTAATTTATTTACTTGCAATTATATTTATTTATTTGGATTCATTTATTTGCTTGTTATTACATTTAATTATTTACTTTATTTACTCACAATTTTATTTATTTATTATTACTTATTTATTTAATTTAATTTATTTACTTGCAATTATGTTTATTTATTTTTTAATTAATTATTTATCATGTTTCATTTATTTACTTTATTTTTTATTTATTTACTTTAACTTTTTTAGCTGTAATTATGTTTATTTACTTTATTTATTTACTTGCAATTATATTATTATTTTTATTTATTTGTTTGTTTACCTTATTTAATTAATTTCTTGCCGTTTTATTGATTTATAAATGTTATTTTTTTAATTTATTTGCTTGCATTTGTATTTATTTATTTACTTTACTCATAAACTTGCAATTATATTTATTATTTTATTTATTTACTTTATTTATTTTTTATTTACTTTCAATTATATTATTTTATTTATTTATTTATTTACCTTTACTTGCAATTATATTTGTTTACTTTTATCTATTGATTTAATTCATTTACTTGCAATTATATTTATTTAATTAATTAATACATTTTATTTATTTACTTGTAGATATATTTATTTGTATTTTTTAACGTATTTAATTTGTTTGTTAGCAATTATATTTATTTATTTATTTATTTACCTTGTTTATTTAATTTATTTCTCTGCAAATATATTTATTTATTTACTTGCAATTATTGACTTGGCATTAAGAGATTCATCATAAACAGGTAATACACACAAGGAGTGCTGTTTTTTTTTTTTTTTTTTTTTTTTTTTACAAATGCATTGATATTATATACACACACAAGTTGTTTTTTTAACATTAGACTGAAAAAAAGCATTTTCCTAAAAGACAAAACATTCTGAGACGTTTGTGTGTGTGTGTTTGCAGACCCGAGCCACCAGAGGGCAGGAGGCAACCTGCGCTACTTTGAGCGTCTGCTGTCTAAAGAGCTGCAAGACTCAGGGCAGACCCAGCCGGAGCCTGCAGACGAGAGACCCATTCAACTGGACACGTACCAGCGGCCTAAAGACTACCTTCCTGAGAGAGAGGCGTACGAAGCCCTGTGCCGGGGGGAGGGCGTCAAAATGGTGAGCAAGGCACACACATCAGGCTATCACACCCAATCCCAATTCTACCCCTTAGTTCTTTCCCTCCACCCTACCCTCTCTTTTTGCGCGTTCAAGTGAAGGGGTAGGGGTGTCCCAATTCTCTTTAGTTTGAATGTGCTAAGGGGGAGGGCTAATGGGAAGCGGTAGATAGCCCTTGGAACTGAGATTTTTAAGGACCACACTGGAAACAAAAGTGTACGAAAATTTTCCATGGCTGCACACGAAGTTAAGGATTATTAGCGGATTATTATTTGTTTGTGATTATTATGAATTTTTATTATGAACAAACAAGCATGCAGTATGTTTTAATACATTCACAATTTTACTATGGCCTGGGTGGGCCGGTGACCATCTCGGTGACCATCAACTGTTTTCTCAGAGAATGATAAGCTGACAAAACATTGCGGTCACTCGGATACAAGTTTTATTTATGGAGAAAATGAAAAAGCACTGTAGTGTTTGGCCGTTCTGTGTGTGTCTGAGGTAATTAGTGTACCAAAATGTGTGTATTGCACACAAGGTATGAAGCTGATCGGTCAGTTCTTGTCACATGACTCGCAGTGCGCTCGAGCTAATCTGCTCGATTAGCTGTCATCTCTCACCTTATGCTGTGTGCTTCAGGGCCATTCTCCTCTGTTTTTGAGGTGATGTGCATAAGTAATCCTTTTATATGTCTGATGTGCTCCAAACACAGTGAACTATGTTTGATCAAACAAAAGAATAGTGAAATATGAAAACAATGATCGCTCCCTGTGGCTTAGACAGGTATCTAAACACGCACTAATACACCTTTTAAACTTGACAAAAACTCTTGAAAACCTTTACTGTCTGCTATGTCAGTATTCGGCGGGCCGAAAAAGTCCGGCTGCTGGCCCCGAGAAAGCCCTGCTTTGGCCCTATCAGTCCCCGGAAGTGACAGTGGAAACGCGACTGGCCTTGGATCACCCTGGCTTGCTCGCTTTATGCGCGATAGTGGAAACGCGGCTATTGTGTGCAAAGTTTATATACTTATAACCACCTCAGAGGATATTGAGAGTCGTGAGTCACAGGCAATATAATTTTGGGGTCATGGAGCTGAAAAGTTTGCTTTAATCAACATGTGTCTGCACGACTTTTAGTTGAAATGAAATAGGAGAAATTTCCAACCCAGGCTCTTTGTGGAAACGTTGTCCCGCGGACATTTCTGGAAACCACGGAATTTGTCCCAGCGGGTACATACGGCTGGAGTTTTTGTTTTCGCGAATCCGCGAGAGGCCGCTGTTGCGCGCTTTTTCGCACCTCAGACGCCTCTCGCGGGTGCGAGCTGTTCTCGCGCGAACCCGCCGGAGGCCGCCGTCCGACTGACCGGATGATTGACTGCGCGACCGGCCAATTGGCCGACCCGCCCTCCTTCTTTCCCGAACCCAACCAATTTTACTGATCGACCCGCCCGCTTCGCTGAACCCGAGCAACAGTTTACAAAAAGCCGTCCAAAAAAATAAAAGCCCCGATTTTTTTTTTTTTTTTTTTTTTTACCGCGTTTTCGAATTTCGCGAACTCGTTCACTTAATATTTGGGATTCTGTTTTCGTCTTACCTGAAAGCTGGAACCGCTCTTCCCCGTACTCGAAACCGGTCGCCGTGTTCAACTCCTCTCCGCATCTCGAGCCTGCCGACGTTACACAGTGAGCTAAGTGGACAAACGGGTTTCAGCGGGGAAGCCCTCCACAAAGAGGTAAGGCAAGCGCGAAAGGTAACGGCGTCACACCGCCCCGCAGCGTTCGCTTGAAAAAAAATAAATGCGGACGTACGTACCCCCAGGGATGTATTCCACTGCCTCTAGAAACGTCCGCGGGACTACGTTTTCAGAATGAGCTTGGGTTGGAAATTTCATCCTAAATGTGCTGTAGGTTGTTATAAAACATTTTTTCCTCTTTATCTCCTGCAGACTACTAAGAGGCAGAGCCGGCTGTTCTGTCGCTATCGTGATGGAAACCGAAATCCCCGTCTGCTGCTGAAGCCCATGAAGGAGGAGGATGAGTGGGACAGTCCTCACATCGTGCGCTTTCTGGAGGCACTTTCAGATGAAGAGATCCAGAAGATCAAGGAGATCGCCACACCCAAGGTCAGTCTGATGTAGGGCTGCAGGATACTGTGAAAAATAAGCAACGCTGTTGTTCAGTATTGCGATGACTGCAGTTGAGATCCGAATTTAATAATAATCATTCATTTATAAACATGAGTTTCCTTTTTCATTCATTCATTTTCTTTTCGGCTTAGTCCCTTTATTAATCTGGGGTCGCCACAGCGGAATGAACCGCCAATTTATCCAGCACATGTTTTACACAGCAGATGCCCTTCCAGCTGCAACCCATCACTGGGAAATATCCATACACTCTCATTCACTCACAAACAATACAGATAATTTTAGCTTACCCAATTCTCCTATATCGCAGGTCTTTGGACTTGTGGGGGACACCGGAGCACCTGGAGAAAACCCACCCAAACACAGGGAGAACATGCAAACTCCACACAGAAATGCCAACTTTTTTTAAATGAAAAATCTCAGCCAAATTCCAAGGTTGTGGAGGGATTTATTTGACATCCAAAATTACATCTTTGAGTTTCTAAAGAAAAACAAACCACAAAACTGAAATGCCACTGAAATGCACCATACGGTTATTATATGGTAACAAAATTAATACTGTTATAATAGTAATATTAGATTAGATTATAATATTTAGATTATAATATTAATATTTAGATTGTCTACAGAACATACCACTATTTTTTAATAACCTTTGAATTTCACTTAAATAATTCAATTCACTTCATCTTTATTTCTATCGGGATTTTACAATGTAGATTGTGTCAAAGCAGCTGAACAAAGAAGTTCTAGTAAACTGAAACTGCCAGTCCAGTTTTCAGAGTTGAAGTTCAGTTTAGTTCAGTTCGGCGTGGTTTAATTTTCACTGCTGAAAGTCCAAACACTGAAGAGCAAATCCATCAATGCGCAGCTTCACAAGTCAAATATTATTTATAGTCATCATGGCATAGATAAAATAAATCAGTTATTAGAAATGAGTTATTAAAACTATTGTGTTTAGAAATGTGTGGGAAAAAATCTTCGCTATTAAAGATCACTTGAGAAGTATTTAAAAATAATGCTTTCACAGGATGGTGGATGAGTTTGACTTCAACTGTATATAAACAGTTAAAGTCACAATTATTCGCCCTTCTGTGAATTCGTTTTTTTCAAATATTTCCCAAATTATATTTAACTGGGCAAGGAAATTTTCACAGTATTTCCTATAATATTTTTTCTTCTGGATAAAGTCTTATTTGTTTAATTTCGGCTAGAATAAAAGCAGTTTTTAATTTTTTTAAAACTATTTTAAGGTCAGTATTATTAGCGCCTTTCAAGCAGTATTTGTTTGACTACAGAACAAAACACTGTTATACAATGACTTGCCTAATTACCCTAATGAACCTAGTTACGCCTTTAAATGTCACTTTAAGTTCAATACTAGTGTCTTGAACAATATCTAGTCTAATATTAAGACAAAGATAAAATAAATCAGTTATTAGAAATGAGTTATTAAAGCTATTATGACTACAAATGTGTTAAATAAAAAGCTGAAAAATATTCAAGAGGACGTATAATTCTGACTTCTACTGTATATGTATATAAATAAAATGTAAAGTCAATTTTTCTTGTGCCCAGTCATTATAAAATACGGAAAGACTGAGATGCGTGTGTGTTTTGCTTTTATTTTGGTTCTGTCTGATGTTGAGGTGTTTTCTGCAGCTTGCGAGGGCCACAGTGAGAGATCCCAAAACAGGAGTTCTGACCGTCGCACATTATAGAGTCTCCAAAAGGTGAGCACATCTCACAAACAACAAACCATTCAATGCCGTCTCATTCAATTCAGTTCAATTCATCTTTATTTCTATAGCGCTTTTACAATGTAGATTGTGTCAAAGCAGCTCGCGCGAACGCAATTATTTTTGTCATTTGCGTTGCTTTTCAATTCTGTGATCGCCTTTGCATGCATGTTGGACCATCCTTATTGCCGAACTCTGCTTGTAAGAATTATTATGCAGGACAGTTATTTTCAACCAGCCAAAGTGGCTAGTGGGAGTGTCTGTCGTACCTGCCACTGCTCAAATCTACCTGCATTTGGCGGGTTGGTGAGTGTTAATGTCAAACCCTGTGTATAACCATTGGCTTTATTGTGCTGTTTTCTATATACAGTGCGTGGCTGGAAGGAGAAGATGACCCAGTGATCGCACGAGTCAATCAGAGAATAGAGGACATCACTGGGTTAACTGTGGATACTGCCGAACTACTACAGGTCATTCAAGCGAAATACTCCACAATATATCTGATCTGATATCTCATCTAATACAGTGTGTGTATAGTACAAATCACTACTAAAACAACAGTTACACTATGTACTAAACACAACACAGGCTCATTCTGAATATGTAGCCCTATATACGTTTCTGGAGATCGCCAGTTATGTAGCCAGAGCTACGTATGGCTGCATTTAAACTATGGCTAACCAGCTGACCGCTTACCTTCATGTGGGCGGCTTTCCCACTGTTACCAGTTTGTCCCGTAGCTCGCCATGTACGTTGGCAGACTTGAGATGCAATGAGTCGACAACCACAAGGACAGGGTCTAGGTCCAGCGAAGAACAGTTCCAGAAAGCTGGCAAGACATAAACAGAAGGCAAAAAACATAAATAAACAAGTAAATAACAGGGTGAGAACATCGTAAAATCTGAAAACGTGGTAAAAATAAGGCGAGGGCTTTTCTTTTTTCTGGATTGCTTTTTAAAACTGGAGGAGGGTGGTTCAGTTCGTCGACAGCGACCTCTGGTGTATTTATGCGAGCACAGCAGGCGTGAATGTCACTCGCGAGAGATATTTGAGATCTCAAAAAGCGTACACTGCAGCCTCTGGTGGGTTTTCGAAAGAACAGCAGGCGCGAATGACTCTTGTGAGAGAAATTTGAGATCTTAAAAAGCGTACACAGCAGCCTCTGCTGGATTTGTGAAAATAAAAACGGCAAAAAAGTAGCTCCTGGAACGTATTTGGCGCTCTCCAGAAATGTATGCAGGGGTACGTTTTCAGAATGAGCCTTGACTAAATATTTTTTAAGGAACAATTTTAATTCGCAGTATACACAGCACAATAATTGAAAAAATCAAGAGAGTATGATGAATAAGATGATTGCATTAAAGGGACACGAAACCACCACTGTTTCAGCAGGGTGTTTTCACACCTCTAGTATGGAAAAAGTCAGGAAAGTGGGCGTGTCCAGCTCTGTTTAGGGGGGAGTGTCGGAGGAGGGAAGGTGCATAAAAATTTGCATAAAAATTGGAGTTTCGATTTGAGCACATGCTGATTTTCACAGCGGCTAAACAACACACAGACGGAGGAGAGAAAGACAGTGACTGTGTTTACATGGATATCAGTAATCAAATTACTTGACAAATTATTAAATGGTGGACTATAACTGCAGTTTGGCTCTTTCATTCAGAAATTTCATTCATGCCCCTCAAGACAAACCAGATATTTGAATTGAGGAACTGCTGTAAGCATGTATTTTTATTGCAATGTTTAATCTCGCATGGCGAATGAGAGAAAAAAACCCTCCGCATTTCTCTGTAACTCAGTTGCACTCAGTAGGTAGCGTCTGAAAGCTATGTATGTTATTCCTGTCACAAAATGCGCGAAAATCCTACACAATGGTAATAGTTTGCTTGTTTACATGTTTACACTCGGCTGAGCAGCATTTACAGTGAATCTTTCAGTCTAATATTGTAGTGATATGAACGTACTGTAAACGTTAGTAACTTAGAAATCATTTGACTAAGGTCTGTCTTTAAACACTGAAAGAGTACTGCTGATGATAAGAACTAACTTTACCATCTGAATAAACAAACAAAGACCACTGATCGCTCACTAACCAAATCTGTAGAGACAGGACAATCAACACTAACTGGAGCCGCGTCTTTACTAAAAGGAGACGAGCAGCAAATCCATATTTCACCATTTCCAGATGAGAAAAGCTCTCGGGTAAACAATGTTCTTTAGACATGTATGTTTGTCGAGCATCGCGTGCACTGATCCACACGTGAGCCCAGCTGCGCTCTCATAGCGGGAAAATGACAACAAAACCTTTAAAGCAGCAAATAATAAAAGCAACACTGACGACTCGTATCTCCAAACAATTCTTGTTCTCCCTCTTGTTTTCTCAACACAACGTGGTGATCAGGTAATCAAACCAATCAGGGAAATACAGTCTTGGAAGCTATCATGCATATTAATGAAGTTGCACAGCAAACACAATAGAGCGCGCTGATTGGTTTGAGCCAAGTCTTTCTCATGAATGAATGCAGCACACTCAGAGACGTCACAAAGTACTCCCAGGTCCAGCCTACACGCTGGAATAAATGCTAAGATCTCATGGCCGTGACGCATCTTCAAAAAGTAGTTCCAAACCGGAAGTACGAATTTGCTCGAAATAACGCAAAAACAACCAATTTTTGCTTTTTAGTTGAATATATGTGCCCTAATAGTGTTTATAACAGCGTGGGACACATATACGACTGTCAACAGCTCAAAACATGTGACCCTTTAAGGTAAACAGTATACTACGTACACTCACGTGGTTTAATTTAATGTGCATTTTCTCTCAAAAAAAGATTTTTGCTTCTTGTTCAAACTCCTCATCTAAAATGAGCTGAAACAACACAATTCTTGAGTTTTTTGGGACAGCTTAAATGTTTCATGTTCAATCCACTTAAATTTGTTATTACAATTAGGTTAACTTATTTAGTTTGTGTTGGGACAATATGAAGCAATCATCAGCATCAGAAACCCAGCATGTTTACTGTTTTTGCAAATAATGAATTGCTTTGATTAACTGAAGATGATTTCTGTTGCATCTTAGGTTGCGAACTACGGCGTCGGGGGTCAATATGAACCACATTTTGATTTCTCCAGGGTAAGATCATTGTGCACGAACGCCATCATTATTTTAATTATGAGGCATGATATTTTAATTCCACATCAGGGGCATGTGCATGAAGAAATGTACATGGTTTATTTACTGTAATTTGCAAATATATAGGTGTTAAGATGACTTCTGTGGTCTGTATTTAGCAATAATAATAATAATTACAATAATTAAGTTGTAATTATAATTAAGTTTTTTTGTATAGTCTCTTATTGAATTGTGAATGTTTTTCTCTATCATGCTATTGCCCTGAAATAGCCATACTGACGTTTCTGATGTGGCAATAAATCAAAATATTAAATAATATGTTTTTAATAACATGTTCAGGATACAGTGTGTCACTTGATGTCAAAAAATCACTTTAAAATGTGCTGTAATTCAGCGTATACATAGTTTATTGCTGGTGGTAATACATTTTCTGATCCTTTCATTTGGAGTTTATTGAATGATTGTAATTTGTTGGTGAAATTGAGAATGCTTTACAGACCCGATTATACGATTCCTGAATTTAATGCAAAATCAAGCAAACGTCCCAAAAATTCATGGAGCTTGCAAATTATTAAAATTGCTGCATATTTCCAACATATCAAGCCACGTGGATGACTTAGTTTAATTTATTAATTTACTTATTTTCAAATATGATAAACTATTGTCGGTGGCTCAGCGGTTAGCACTGTTGCCTCAAGGCAAGAAGGTCGACATTTGTCTTTTTTCCTATGATTACAGACATGTGCAGGAACCACCAAAATTAATTACAGCACGCTAGACCACACACAACCTGAAAGGTACACTTTCAAATTTGAGTTTATAAACAAAAAATACAAAAAGCGCCTCTTTTTTTAGGTGTTGATTATAACAAAGACAACATATACAGATATTTTAAACACTTTCAATAGAGTTTTATGAAAATTCAAAGGGTTTTCTTTAACATGATACCAACTTTTTGCATTTACACCTCTGCATGTAGATTTGGGAATCTTTTAAATTTGGGTAGGCAAAATCCTGACGGAATTTCCAAAATAACAGCAGAGTTTAACTGGTTAAGCAGTGGACTTTACATTACGATTGGTTGCCGCTGAACCTCGTCATAGCTCATTACCATATAGTAGGAGTGTCAAAATGAATCGTTTCTTCGGTGCACCGCGATGCAGACGCGGACAATTCGGTATCGGTTCAGTAATAATCATAACCGGTTATTACTGACGTCATTTACCTCATACATAGTAGTATTTACAACGATCTAACTACTTAAAACTCATAACTGTGCACAAGTTCACTGTGTGTGTTTGCTGGATCAGTCTTTCACTGACATTAACAGCAAAAGCCCCTATTTCACTGAGATCGAGAGTGAAAGTACTCTCTCTCTCTCTCTCTCTCTCTCACACACACACACACAGTGGCCCATTTGACCTGCTGGCGTGGCTTTTCTTCTCCTCTTGGCTGTTTTACAGCATTACTTCTGGATAAAGAAACGAGCGCGTGTCTGCAGAGTTTTCTCCATCGTGTCTATCTTACATCAGCTGTGATCGCCGCCTGCCGCTTATCAGTGTCACTCATCTGTGAAGAGCGCAGCGCGCAAGAGCCAATCGCAACCATTTTTGTTGAGGGTGTGACCAATCAAACAGGTGTAAGAGAACTAGATAAGGATCAGAAAGCGAGCGGGATATTTATATTTGTTTATATTATTTGCTAAATGCTCGTGTTGTTTAAAGGTGCAGTTTAAATATCTGACTGTTTGTATTAAATGACAAAATTGTATTACAAATAATATATAAATATAAATATATTCATACATTTTAATACAAGAACTGCTGCTGTGAAGAAAATATAAAACTGTGTATGGAAAGCACCGTCAATGCACTGAAATATCGAATTGAACCAAATTGATGGCATGATAATCGTAACCGAACCGTGAGACTAGTGTAGGCTCACACCTCTACCATATAGTTGACTTGTTTTCAACTCTCCTCGACGGCCACAATAGCGAAGACGCGCCAAACTACTCCTCGCCGCTTATCTCCATCAGCTTTCATTGAAAATGAATGACTTCCAGCTACTTTGACCCTCTCGCCGCTTTCGGTGTGAATGCACAGTTAGCCACCTTATGCAGTATTTGTTTAGGATAGTCTACAGCAGTGGGTTAATATAAAAAATATTAACACATTGCTCCAACAATATAATATAATATTATAACATCACAAACTGTCCGTAACTCTAAATCAATGGGAGCCCTGAGCTTGTTTCTTTGCAACGAGATGGTCCCATCTGGGGGTAATGGCAGACAAAAGCCCCTTTTACACATACAGACCTTTCCGGAAAATTACCGGCAATTTTCCAGGAAAGGTGTGTATGTGTGAACAGGGCCTTTTTAAAAATACCGGTAAATTCGTTCTGGCTATTTTCTGGAAAGAGAAGTTGTAACATTACCGGTAATTTGCCGGAATGCTGCGCTGTGTGAATGCAGAAGGAAGATTGCCGTAATAAGCGCATGCACGTCTAGAACGTGCTGACGTGAGTCGTCTACTTTAGCCAATCAGAACAGTCAGACGCGTTTACGTCCGCGCGGTTTATGAGAATAAAAGCCTTTGAATATTTTTCCAGACACATTTAGCTGCTAGATGTTAGTCAGATAACATTTATATGTTCTTCTAAATGCCAACTATGTAAATAATTATCGATAAGATGCTTATGATAAGCCGCTGTTTGTTTACCTTCAAGCTTTCAAGTGCCCGTGAAAAAGCCCATGAGCGCCAGCACACACACACATATCATGCAAGTCCAATATGCCTCTGTTCACGCGCCGTCCCCACAAATCCAGTTTGGCTTTAAATGCAGCTACTATATCTGCCAACTTAAAGATAATTAATTCTTGTGCGGCCCGGTACTGATTGATCCACAGACCGGTACCGGTCCTCGGCCGAGGGGTTGCACTGGTCTACAGAACAAACCATCATTATACAATGACATACATAATTACCCTAACTTGCCTAATTAACCTAGTTAATCCTTTAAAAGTCACTTTAAGCTGTATAGAAGTGTCTTGAAAAAATGTCCTGTGAAATATTATTTACTGTCATCATGGCAAAGATAAAACAAATCAGTTATTAGAGATGAATTATTAAAGCTATTATGATTAGAAATGTGTTCATTAAATCATCTTCCCTTTAAACAGAAATTGGGGTAAAATAATAAGGAAGGCGAATAGTTCGGACTTCATCTGTAATGTAACGTCAGAGGTGGATATTTTGTCCACTGCCGCACTTCAATCTGGTTTAATAGTTACACACGTCTGTTGCAGCGTCCTTTTGACAGCAACCTCAAGGTTGACGGAAATAGACTTGCCACCTATCTGAACTATGTAAGTACATGTGTGTGCCTTTCTCGCCTCTCTCTGTCTTTACCCTACACGTTTTTATCTTCATAGAAAGATGAACCTGATGCTTTCAAATCATTAGGCACCGGAAATCGCGTGGCTACTTATTTAAATTATGTAAGTATGTGTATGCTGTGGTGCTCGGTCCCAGAGCTCATATCTGCTCATGTGTGATTTTGTGTTTGGGATTAATACGGATCCACATGAACACTGCACACCCGCACCAGTTGCTCAAAGTAAGAGAAAACAAGCTGGAAACTGAGCTCAGCAACTATGTGGAGTAACTACATTTGAGTGAAATGTGGACAAGACCTACTAATTTTTTTAATTTTTTTTTGTATTGCATAGATTTTAACATTTACTTACAAATGTATTGTACGCAGATCATTTTTACGTTCGATATAGCAAACAACTAAACTAGAATCTAGAAAGAGTTGAAGAATATATATATATATACACACACACTTTATTGGGTACACCTGTTCAACTGCTCGTTAACGCAAATTTCTTATCAGTTAATCTCATGCCAGCAGCTCAATGCATTTAGGCCTGTAGACATGGGCTGCGTCCGAAAGCGCATACTTCCATACTATATAGTACGCTAAAATCAGTATGCGAGCCGAGTAGTATGTCCGAATTCGTAGAATTCGAAAATCAGTATACGAAAAGTACCCGGATGATTTACTACTTCCGGCGAGATTCTGAAGTGCGCTTCCCATGCACGCTGCGCTATCCCATGATGCCCCGCAAGCAAATTCATGAATGGGAGTGAAGCGACGCAAATGACGCAGGTAGGTCGCGTGACCATGACAAAATGGCGGATATAGTACGTCCGAATTCCATTCATACTTTTCACATTCATACTGTATAGAACGTACTTTTCTAACGGGCGAGTAGTACGTTTACATTCAAATGCAGTGCCTACTGAGTAGTAGGCGGTTTCGGACGCAACCACTGTCAAGACGATCTGCTGCAGTTCAAAGCGAGCATCACAATGGGGAAGAAAGCTGATTTAAGTGGCTTTAAATGTGGCATGGTTGTTGGTGCCAGACTGGCTGGTCTGAGTATTTCAGAAACTGCTGATCTACTGGAATTTTCACGCACAACCATCTCTAGGATTTACAGAGAATGGTCCAAAAACGAGAAAATATACAGTGGGTGTGCAGCCGACAAATCATGTCAATATGGAGCAAAATCTCTGAGGAATATTTCCAGTACCTCGTTAAATCTATGCCACAAAGGATTAAGGCAGTTTTGAAGGCAAAAGGTGGTCCAACTCAATACTTGTAAGGTGTACCTAATAAAGTAGCCGGTGAGTGTATTTATAAAATGTATGTATTTTACGTTCAGTATATAATTTTATGTTGGATGATGTATTTTTTTTTCTCAACTTTGTTTTTATTGATTTTAATTATAATACAAAACCCAACAAACAGTACAGAATGTTAACTTATGATATTTCAGAGTCTACTTTCCCACCCCAACATTTTTTAAATTAAAATAACATTTCAAATAAATTATAACATAGAATAATATACAATACTTTAAAAAATACAAAAATAAATAATTACAAATAAAATGCAAAAAAATATATAAAAAAATTATGTATGTATGTATGTATATATATATATATATATATATATATATATATATATATATATATATATATATATATATATATATATATATATATATAACAAAATAAATAAAATTAAAATAAAAAACTATTACATTGAATTTTAAATTACAGTCATCTTTCCAGAGACATCCTTTTTTTCTATCCATTTAGAAAGCAACTGAAAGGGGACCACACTTTTTTAAAAGTCTCTGCTTTACCTCTGATCACTTATGTTAATTTTTCAAGGGCAAGATTATCAGACATTTCCTTTATCCATTGTGCAAGAACAGGTCTTGGATGATGTATTTTAAGCTTTTTATTATGAGTCAAAAGTATGGATTTTACATTTATGCCAAAATTAGGATGTTAAGATGAAAATATGAAACATGAAAATTTTAACATGAATATATATATATATGTATATATATATTTTTTTATTTTCATGAGTAATGTGCATTGCTAAGCACTTCTTTTAGACTACTTTAAAGGTTATTTTCTCAGTATTTTTGTACTCTGAAGTTTCAGATTTTTAAATCGTTGTATCTCTGACAAATAATATTATTATTTTCCTTATGGACTTGTTTTGTGGTGTAGAGTTGTGTATATTACCCAGACTTGCTCTGAGTTTGCCAATAGAGTCTGGCTACAAGCCTTTTCACTAAATATCTTCATTTGAAACTATAAACTATCAGGGTACTACACTTGATCATTTTAAAATGGTAAAAATAAATAGTCCAGTTTAATAATAAATAATTAATAGGGACGGGGCGGCATGGTGGCTCAGTGGTTAGCACTGTCGCCTCACAGCAAGTAGGACACTGGTTCGAGTCCCAGCTGGGCCTGTTGGCATTTGTTTTTCATACTATATACAGTAGTGTGTGCTTTCGCTGTCGTTTATGAATGATTAAATAAATGGACACAAGTAGAGATGATTTTCTTGCTTTATCACTCTCTCTGCATCTTCTTTGCTGATCTTTTCCATTGGCCTTTACTTTTTTAATTTATCGCACTGTCAATAGCTGTTTGTAATCTTTAAAGGTCCCGTGAAGTGCTTTGAAATCTGCATTTTTATTAGATGTTTGATGTAATCTCAACCAAGACATGAAGAGAGGGTGGGACGTAATGTAGCTTCTCACCTTTAAAAAAACAGCCAATAGCGTTTAGTTTGACCACAGCTCTGCCAGTGAGAGAGCTCAAGTGCATCAAATGTGAAGCCTCTTGAAGGGGGCGGGGCATATCAGATACTAGAGAGAATTTGATTGGTTATGATGTGACGAAAAACTGAAGTATGAGGTAATGTGATTAAAATAATATCAGTTTTATATCTCCCTAGACGCAAATTTTGTTTCTGTTTTGGAGCGCAGTAGCTTATAGATATCCTAAAAACTAACGACACTGATACAAACATCTAAAAAACGTTATTGGGATTTCATGGGACCTTTAAAATTGAGACTTTTCTGATTTTAATCGTTTTCTGCACTAAACTTGAAGTCCTTCTGTAATTTCTGTAACACTGATAACATACTATCTCTCAGATGAAAAGTGTATATTTATACTGGATCTCCATTACAGATGAGTGATGTTGAAGCCGGCGGAGCGACTGTTTTCCCTGACTTTGGTGCTTCTGTTTGGCCCAGAAAGGTACACACACTCTATTGATATTTTATAATAAATTGTATAATGTCGGGCGTCATGGTGGCCTCACAGCAAGGACACTGGTTCGAGTCACTGTATCAATTGGCATTTTTGTGTGGAGTTTGCATGTTCTTCCAGTGTGGGTTTTCTCCGGATGCTCCGGTTTCCCCCTCAGTCCAAACACATGCACTATAGGTGAATTGGGTGAGCTAAATTGTCATTGAATAAATGAGCGTGTATTGTGTTTCCCAGTCATGGGTTGCAGCTGTAAGGGCATCCGTTGTGTAAAACATATGCTGGATAAGTTGGCGGTTCATTCCGCTGTGGCGACCCCAGATTAATAAAGGGACTAAGCCGACAAGAAAATGAATGAATTGTATAATGTCATCGGTAATATAATTGCCTCTATAATATATTAAGTCAGGGGTGTCAAACTCAATTCCTGGAGGGCCGAAGCCCTGCACAGTTTAGTTTCAACCCTGCTCCAACACACTTACCTGTAGGTTTCAAACAAGCCTTAAGGACTCAATTAGTTTGATCAGGTGTGTTTAATTAGGGTTGGAACTAAACTGTGCAGAGCTGCGGCCCTTTTGGAACTGAGTTTGACACCTGTGTATTAAGGTGTTACACCTAAAAAAATCTAATAGGCTTATAGGGGACCTATTATGCTTCTTTTTACAAGATGTGAATTTTTATCTTAAAATACCAAACAAATAATGTTTTATAACTCTTTGAAACTCAATCCAAATTGTGTTATTTTGATGACTGTCACTTTAAATTCAAATGAGATTGATCTTTTCAAAAGAGGGCGGAGCTATAAATGCCTGTGTGTCAGCATAGTGGCAGATTCAAAAACATCATTATGCTAATGAGGGAGAGATGGTCACTAGTAGGCGGGGCTTTCCCCCTCTGATGACTCGTACAAAGGGAAAATGTCAATCAAAGTGTTTCTGCAGACTGTTTATATCAAGTGTGATGATAAAAAAACACAGTTAATTTATGTTTACCATTATAAGCTGAGTATATCCACACACAACCTTGTTTAAATCCCTTATAAAATGATTTTTGCTTAATAGGCTTTAATATATTGTATTGATGTTGCAGGGAACAGCAGTGTTCTGGTACAATCTCTTCAGAAGTGGAGAAGGAGACTACAGGACAAGACATGCAGCCTGTCCTGTGCTAGTAGGCAGTAAATGGGGTAAGTGCACTAAATTTTAACTACAGATTATTGTGTACTATATACAGTAGACATTTATACACACACACACACACACACACACTTATCGGCCACTTAATTAGGTACACCTGTCCAACTGCTCGTTAACGCAAATTTCTAATCAGCCAATCACATGGCAGCAACTCAATGCATTTAGGCACGTAGACATGGTCAAGACGATCTGCTGCAGTTCAAACTGAGCATCAGAATGAGAAGAAAAGGAATTTAAGTGACTTTGAACGTGGCATGGTTGTTGGTGCCAGACTGGCTGCTCTATAGAGTATTTCAGAAACTGCTGATCTACTGGGATTTTCATGCACAACCATCTCTAGGGTTTATAGAGAAGGGTCTGAAAAGAGGAAATATCCAGTGTGCAGCAGTTCTGTGGGCGCAAATGCCTTGTTGATGCCAGAGGTCAGAGGAGAATGGCCAGACTGGTTCCAGCTGATAGAAAGGCAGCAGTTACTCAAAAAAGCACTCGTTACAACGAACTAGTAAGGTGTACCTAATAAAGTGGCCGGGGAGTGTGTTTTCTGGCTGAAATTAAACAAATGAGTTTCTCTAGAAGAAAAAATATTATAGGAAATACTGTTAAAAAATTCCTTGCTCTGGTAAACATCATTTGGGAAATATTTGAAAAAGAAAATGCACAGGAGGGCAAATAATTGTAATCTTGCATTAATTTAACTATGAGTTGCTGATGTGGCAATAAAAAAACAACCCCTGCCACTGTTACATAATTGAATATGAAAGTAAACAAGGCATAAAATGTGGTTGTTTTAAGCGCATCAGATGTTCACAAACCTTACAAGTTCCTCTTGTCTTTCAGTTTCAAACAAGTGGATCCACGAGCGAGGGCAGGAGTTCAGACGGCCGTGTGGCCTGACAGAAGTGGACTGATCAGGGATGATGAACGCAGTATATTACCCACAGTGCCTTGACTCTGCACACACACAGAGATAATCACACTCTCCACATTCATCCATACGTGATGTCCGTGAGGGATTTCAGGCTTTATTTTGTGTGTTTGCATTCTCCAGTCAGGTTCACCCGGGGAATCGTGTCATTGTTTATGTAATGCTTAAATTATTGTCCTGTTCTAGTGTTTATTTTATATTCATGTATGATTTGCAATAAAAATATAGGAAATTATGTGTTTCTTTGCTTGCATATTCATTTATTATTGAAATAAATAATGTTTTACATTATTTAAGAATAGTTTCCCAAGTCGTTCAAGAATCATTGCTGTAAACTTACTCTTGGTTTACTTGTGTTGAAATAGAAAGCGTGGGTGCCTGAGCGTGCAGAGCGCAAGCCTGAAGATGCAAGTTCAACTCTGCAGCAAGACCCTTCTCCAAAATTCTGGTTCATATCAATCTTTACATTTTTTCAGATAAAGACTTGACTTTGTAAAGTCAATAATTGAGAGCATTAGATTAGTTAAACAATGGTTGAGAATGTTGCACCATTTTTTACAAAATTCAACTATAGCCCCTTTCACACATACACACCTTTCTGTAGGTCTGTATGTGTGAAAGGGGCTAATAATTGATTCTTTTTGGATTCACAGTCCTCATAGTATTTAAGAATTTCTGTAGTACTCACTAAGTGTTTGGGCGTGTAGCTCCATTCAGACTTTTTTTTGTCATAATACCAACAGTCTTTGTTCCTTCCATTTGTTTTAGCGTTTCCCTAGTCGAGATTGTGGACATGAGTACTTGACCTGGGAGTAAAATCTTCTCTGCATCACCTGTACTGGATGTGAATGTAGCAGCTGTTTCTTCATCTTGCTAATCTCATCAAAAGACATCTTGTTAGACGCTGACAGCAGGGGCTTAATAAATCACGTTGAGTAATGAAGTTTGCCCTGCGCGCTCGCGGTTTTAAAAACCTTTTTGGTGCGTTAATCTTCTCAGTAATATTATTCAGAACTTGATCTTGTCAACTTGAACAAATTCAAAAGATATCAATCAGAAACTGGGATTTCTGAGCACACAAACACACATATGTAGGTGAATAAGCAACCAAATAAGGCTCGGGTGAACACAATAAGCAAACACTTAATAGACTAGGCTGTATCCGCCCCTATACCCTTGAATAGTGCAGAAACCATAGTGGACATTCTGAAGTGTTTATGTGAATGCTCATCACAACATGAATTTTACTTTGTTTTCATGTTTGTGTGTGTGTGTGTGTACGTGTTTTTGTGACATATCAGTACACAAATCTGCATAATGACATGGGTATGACACAGGAATTACAAAAAGGAGGTGAAATATGAGGACATTGGTGACGTCCTCATTTCTCCAAAAGCTTATAAATCACACAGGATGAGTTTAATCAGAGAGTAAAGCTGCTCACAGTTTACTGTGATGGTTGGGTTAGGGGTAGGGTGGGGTGAGGGCAATATTATATACGGTTTGGACAGTATAAAATGAATGGAAACCTGTGTAATGTTCCCACTTTTCACAAAAACAAACGTGTGTGTGCGTGTGTGTGTGTGTGCGTGTGCGTGTGCGTGTGCGTGCGTGTGTGTGTGTGTGTGTATTTGTTTTCGTGTGTGTGTTTGTGTGTATGTGTGTGTGTGTGTGTGCACGCGTGCGTGTGTGTATTTTACTTTGTTTTCATGTGTGTGTGTGTTTGTGTGTATGTGTGTGTGTGTTTGTCCATCCAACTTAAAAATATGTGGAAGAATCTGTGTGTGCATAAACCCAAACAGTTATCAAATTGTTTTCTCTGCCATGTCTCTGTTATAACCCCAGTTAATCTACTTACTTAAATGCACTGCGCTGCTGTACTGTGAGTAAATGAACTATTCGTAATTATAAAAATAAAGTCAACCTAACAGTTTAGACTTTTTTTTAAAGTAACGTCAACTAGAACAAATTAATAAACTTTGATTTCTAAGTACACAAACTCACATACTTTAGCCAATACGCAACCAAACAAGGCTCAGGTGAACATAATAGGCAGCCACTGAAAAAACTAGGCTGCATCCAAAATCGCCCCTCTACCCTTCAGCAGTGCAGAAGCCACAGTGGACATTCGGAAGTGTTTATGTGAATGCTCAACACAACATGTATTTGGATTTTGACTTTAAATACAGTAAATTGCTTTTTACAGTGTGTGTTGTGATTAGCTGCATTGACAACAGGTGTACCTAACAAAGTGGCCTGTGAGTGTGAATATACCAATGCTATCTCACTGCAATTCGTAACTTTTTGATTTAGTGGCTAATTCGTACAATATCATTCGTACAGTTAAGTACGATTTGCTTATTCCCCAATGACAGTTGGGTTTAGGGGCGGGGTTTGGAGCCACACCTCCTTTTAAAAATTGCATGACTGAACTCTGAATTAGCCACTAAACTGACAAAACGCTAAATAGTTCAGTTTCCTCATAAAATCAGGCTGGAATATACAGTACAGTCTCTGTGATTACCTGTTTCTCAATTGGATTTAACGCTGTAAGCACATGTATTTGTTGCAACCACAGTTCAAACATCTGGGTGTGTGTTACCTGGTGTTATTATCTGGGTTATGTTCTGTCATAGGAGATCATCTAGGCAGACCAAAACACAATTAGCCGTAATCTGTTTTGTCGAGTGGTGCAACTCACCGCACTGCATCATTAGCACACAGTCTAGTTTTAGATTGAACAGAGTAAAACTGAACACTACATGTCTGAAATGGAAGCTAAGTGGATGATTTTGCTGCTGTCGACATGCTGGATGTTCTGTGGGGCGGTAAATGAGTTTTACTCTTCAACAGGTTAGTCTACTGCAAAAAGTGAGTAACTGTGTGTTTATATACATACAAAAATATATGTATACACTTAAAAAAATGATCACCGAAAAAAAAGGATGTCTGCAAAATTGTTGCAAGCAATTTATATGTGTTGAATTTAAACAAACAAATTAGATTGATTAATGTTCAACTTATTTAGTTGGTTTAAATAAATTGATAACAATCACTTAAATTAAAATGATTTATCCAAGGAGTCACCTTCGAATAATTTTGTTCAAAGATGTTTGCTTTTTGGTCAAACTACAGTAGTTTTTAAATGTTGCTTAACTACTACAATTGCTGCTGTAGTAGTAGTAGTTGGTGTAGTTTTTTTAACGACAGTATTACTATCATTGTTGTGACTCCTTTGTTTCTGTTTTAATTATATATTATTTGCTTAATTGATTAATATTTGCTATTTATGACTTAATCATTTCTGCAGTTTTATTATTTATTTTTTCATCTCTGTTCTTAGTTTATTTTTTCTTCCATTTGTATGTGATCCCATGTAATTTGTGTCCCTCCTGCATAAAAAAAAAATGTTGCTTAACTTAAATGTTTTATGTTCAATCCTCTGAGTTAAAAACAACAACTTAATTCCTTCATGTTGTCCTGACACAAATTGATCGATTGTGTAAAACCCAGGATGTTTTACAGTGTTTATATATTTTCCTGCGTTTTCAAGCTACTTATTTAAAATGAGCTGAAACAACACAATTCTTGTAATTTTATGGAACAACTGCAATTTTTATGTTAAATCCATTTAAATTTGTCAAAACCTATTAACTCAATTGATTTGAATTGGGACAACCTAAATGAATTGTTAGCTTATTAGTTTTTACAAATTTAAGTGGATTGAACATAAAACAATTAAGTTGTCCCAAAATATCTCAAGAATTGTGTTTTGTCAGCTCATTTTAAATAAGTAGCCTGAACAAGCAGCAAAAATTATTATTTTTTTTTTGTAAATGCAAACATAATAATTTATTTTCTTATTTATGATATGCCATCTGCAGATCATATGACTCGGCTTATCGACATCAGAAAAGAGTTTGCCAGATGTCTTCACGGATATATAGAAGCACTGGAGGGTCAAGTAGACGCTCTGAAAAGGTAAAATGTTCGTTTACTATGAGGGTGTACAGCAGGGGTGACCAACCCTGTTCCTGGAGATCGACCTTCCTGCAGATTTCAGTTGCAACCCATTTTAAACACTGCCTGTGATTATCAAGTGCTGTTCAGGTCAGTAATTGATTCAGGTGTGTTTGATTAGGGTTTGAGCTGAACTCTTTAGGAAGGTCGATCTCCAGGAGCAGGGTTAAGCACCCCTGGTGTAAAGTAAAGTATTGCTTATTCAAAATTACATATAAGAATGCAGTAATATGTACAACAACCATTTCACATTGAAATGTAATATTAAACTGGGCATATATTGTGTTGTTTGCATATTTTGTTCTAAAATATTTAGAAATCGGCTGGCCCATTTCTGTGTGGAGTTTGCACGTTCTCCCCATGTTGGCGTGGGTTTCCTCCAGGTGCTCCGGTTTCCCCCACAAGTCCAAACACATGCGCTATAGGGGAATTGAATAAATTAAATTGGCCGTAGTGTATGAGTGCGTGTGTTAATGAGTGTGTATGGGTGTTTTTAAGTGCTGAGTTGCAGATGGAAGAGCATCCACTGTGTGAAACATATGCTGGAATAGTCGGCGGTTCATGCCGCTGTGGCGATCCCTGATGAATAAAGGGACTAAGCCGAAGGAAAATGAATAATTGAATATTTAGAAATAAGTATTTATTTCATTTTAAAGCCTCAGCTATTGTATATTAAGTGTACATTAACTGCTCAGTGTGTGTGTGTGTGTGTGTTTGTGTGTTTAAGTATTAATATCAATGGGCCATCTTAAAGTTACAAGCAAACATTCGTGTTGAAACATTGGTCCTAAATAATGTAATAAATATGTTGGCACAAGATTCATTCATTTTCTTTCGGCTTAGTCCCTTTTTTATCAAGGGTTGCCACAGCGGAATGAACCGCCAAACATTCCAGCATATGTTTTATACAGCAGATGTGCTTTCAGCTGCAACCCAGTACCGAGAAACACCCATACACACATTCAACTTGGGGGGAAACACAGCACCTGGAGCAAACCCACGATAACACCGGGAGAACATGCAAACTCCACACAGGAATGCCAACTGGCCCAGCCAGAACTCGAACCAGTGACCTTCCCACTGTAAGGAAACAGTGCTAACCACTGAGCCACCGTGCCGCCCATTCAAAGAATATTCACAACACATAATAAAATGGAGAGTTAAATTAAAACAATAAATATTAGCAGGTATTACTCATAAAAGATTTTATAAAGCAGTTTAGTCAAATGTTCCTTTAATGTAGTTTTTTTTTAAAGGTGTTTCCTAATCTCTAAGAGAACACTCAAAAAGAAACTTCCTCTTTGGAAAAAAAACCAAGCACAAACATATTGATCATAACATTTATTTGGAAACGTTTTGTTGGCATGCGTATGTGATGATTTTCTCCACAGAACACTATTTTGTTTAGTTTTTTTTACACTAACTTGTGACCCTTCATACATGTAACCCTTCTTTTAGTGTTTAATTATTTATTTACCTATTTATCAGGACTCTGAATACGCTTGAGAAAGACTTTGACGACGCTCCTGAAGATCCAGAGAAATTCATCAGCAATCCCCTTGCTGCATTTCAGCTTGTGAGAAAACTGAGTCGGGTCTGGGCCACGACACAGGAACATCTAGAGGGAAGAAGAAATACAGGTCTGAGGAGAAACACACAAACTGTACAAATGCTGAATATATCATGCAGAAACTGGGATTTCTAAACACACAAACATATTCGAGTTAATAAGAAACCAAACAAGTGTTGCTAGACCAGGGGTCACCAACATAGTGTCCGCGGGCACCAGGTAGCCCGCAAGGATCACATGAGTTGCCCTCAGGCCTGTTCTAAAAATAGCTCACCATAGTGTCACTTACCAGTATGCTGAATCTAATAATTTTTGTAGCTACTCTTTCTAAATCAAGGTGTAAATTTGAGCTATATATAAAAAAATCTTTACAAATACCTCATTTCAGATCAGAGCTAGCTGGTACAATATTGAGAGAAATTTCAGAATGTGTCACACAAGCAATGTTACCATGCTAACCCACACCGGGCACCACACTACAGGTGGAAAAAGTCTGGAAGGTTTGTGAAAACAGCCGTCTTTTTTCACGAGACAGGTGAAAACCTCACCAACAGCAACCGAAACCTCATTTAGAGCTACACATTTTTTATAAAAAAATAAAAAAAATAAAAAAACAAGGCATTTTCAGACAGGAAAGCAAACCTGTGCTTAAAGATGAGAATGGATGTAATTCTCCACTCTCTCCGATGTCCAACTCAGGGCAACTACAATTGTTAGAAGAGTGTTAAAACTGCAGGAGATTTGGTGATAACTTCAGTAAAATCTGAATGTTGATTTATGTTACACAATTGATAATCTGTACAAACAAGGAACAACAGATTAGTGAAAATGTTGTAGAAGTGATCATTTGAAAATGTAAATACTTGCAGAGATATATAAAAAATGAAGTTTTGCACATTGATATTTATGTTTCCTACCCTGATAAATCATTGTTGATAACTATTGTGAGGATCATTAACATGATCAGTGTCTTCACATAGATGAATATCATCAATTATTAACAATAACATACAGTATAATTAAAAGTAAATTGAGCAAATGTGTTATTTGAAAAGTGTGTATCAAACTGGTAGCCCTCCACATTAATTGATACCCAAGAAGTAGCTCTCAGTTTCATAATGACTGATGACCCCTGTGCTAGACATAAAGCTCTACTGTGCGGCCCAGCTCCCCCTCAAAAGTTTTTTTTTTCTATATTTATATATATATATATATATATATATATATATCAGGTTTGTAGCCAACCTATTAAAAGCGGTGGCTCTTTTTTTCCAGACATTCGAGGGTTAAATACTGCATTTAAGTCGGATGGTTATCATTACCACACTTTTTGATGGAACAAAAATACTTCCTACATGTTGGTCAAAGTGCAAACTATTTGTTTAATTACAAGTTGTTACAGTTTTATTTATAATGCAATGAGATTTGAATTTTAGAAATATTAAAAATACTTATTTTTAATGCTAATTTATTATCATCCATAATAAAAATAAAAATAAATGTTTTAAATTAAAAACTGTAGCCTAAAGGCAAATAACAAACAGGCCAGCTCGTTTCGTCAGTCAGAATTTGTCCAATCAAATAATAAAAGTCATCTTTTATTGGTTGTTCTTCTTAAAGCCTTCTTCGATTGGTTATTTTCACAATTTATCATGGCATACTGTCAAAAATGGGACAAATGGGGGGTCTTTCGAACCACCCAAACCCCCCTGGCTACGGGCATATATATATATATATATATATGTATATACAGTTGAAGTCAGATTTATTAGCCCCCTGAATTATTAGCACTCCTGTTTATTTTTAACAGAGAGCAGATTTTTTCAACACATTTCTAAACATAATAGTTTTAATAACTCATCTCTAATAACTGATTATCTTTGTGATGATGACAGTAAATAATATTTGACTTGATATTTTTCAAGACACTTCTATACAGCTTAAAGTGGCATTTTAAGGCTTCACTAGGTTAATTAGGGTAACTAGGCAGGTTATTGTATAACGATGGTTTGTTCTGAAGACTATCAGGAAAAAATATAGATTAAAGGGGCTAATAATATTGTCCTTAAAATGGCTTTTAAAAAAATTAATAACTGCTTTTATATTAGCTGAATTAAAACAAGTAAGACTTTCTCCAGAAGAAAAAATATTATCAGACATACTGTGAAAATTTCCTTGCTCTGTTCAACATCATTTAGGAAATATAAAAAAAAAGAAAAAAAATTTAAAGGGGATGCGAATAACTCTGACCTCAACTGTATATATATATATATATATATATATATATAAGTAACAAATAGCCAACATAATTTTGTGAGTGTATCATGCCTTTCCAGATCAATTGATTTGTGATGACTGTTGTGCTCATTTGAGGGTCCTCGTAATTTTTGGTGATTAATTCTCTATGAAGATCAAACCAGTTACATTTGTCATTTTTCACAGAGACTTTAGAAAAGCTGAGGTCCACAGCTCAGACACTCCCCGGTGCAGATGATGTTGACGGTGTCGTGATGGCTCTGGTTCGACTGCAGGAAATGTACAGATTAGATCCAAGAAACATCTCCTTATTTTCTCGTGAGTTTTTGTTTGTGTGTGTGTGTGTGTGTGTGTGTGTGTGTGTGTGAAGTTTCAGCTCAAAATACCCCATAAATGTTGTTTCAAGAGTTCACACTTAGATGTTGCTTGACAACTGTTAGCAGGTTTGGCATGCTGTCCCGGGAGAGAACCCTGAGCTCGGAGATAGTTGAGCCCAGGGCTCCCGCCAGGTCCATAGAGCATGTGAGGGGAGTACGAGATCAGGTGGTTCTCGAGAGCTCCCCTTTTTGTAAAGGAGAAAAGGAGGAGAAAGGGGGTGGATGGGGGGTTTCTTCGGAAAACGAAGATAAGGGAGTAATATCAAGCTAGGCTACTTATAGTGGGTTAGGATAGATCTGATTGGCTAACTAATGAGTGTAGATAGGTGGCCAGCTGCTGTCAATTATATCACGTGCTCCTCTCGAAATTAGTTTAAAAACTTCACTTAATAACTCTTTGAAACTGACCCTTTTAGGCTTTGTTCCTAATTGGGGTGTTTTAGTGTCTGTCGCTTTAAATTCTAATGAGATTGTGCTCTCTTCAAAAGAGGGCGGAGCTACAGTTGCCTGTGTTTCAGCATAGTGGCAGATTCAAAAACAAGACTAATGTCTTATGCTAATGAGGGAGAGATGGTCACTAGTGGGCGGGGCTTTCCCCCTCGGTTGACTTGTGCAAAGGGAGAATGTCAATCAAAGTGTTTCTGCAATCAAGTGTGATTAATAAACTCATTAAAATAAATAAATTTTGACCGTTAGAAGCTGATTGTATTCACACGCTGTTGCCACACAACTGTGTTTAAACCCCTTATTAAAGTGATTTTTACATAATAGTTCCACTTTAATATTCATGTCACAATATGTAGCAATATTATCTATGCAGTAGCTGGCAGCAGCCCACATATGTAAAAACCACTTGAAAAAAAACTTTTTTGTGTCTCTTTATGTTTCACAGATGTAATCTTGATGTTTGCCATTTCAGAAGTGAGCCATAACTTAACACTGGATCCAGATGAAACTTTCCACATCGCCATGATCTCCTATCACAGTCATCGGTTACAGTATGCGCTCCTCTGGATGGAGGAAACCCTCAGGAAACTAGATGAGGGCGAGGAAGCCAATGTCACTAAAGACGAAGTGCTTTACCAACTGGCTTCATTTTCCCATCAGCTGGCAGTGATTCAGATGCCATCTAGACCAGGTAAAGATGGTTGTAACGCTGAGAGTGAGAGTGATGGAGTTCCGTGTGCAGCTTAATTTTAAGAGAATCTGGTTGATCCGGGTGATCTGGCTGTCTTTTTGTCTTCTGGATTGTTTCTAGAACCCACTAATGGGGGTCTGCTTCATCCTGCGCTTCACAAAAGTTTGATAGAGAGCATCAAGACCTGGGAATGGACTGCAAAATACATCCCTCACACTGACACGGAGAACACATACGAGGCTCTTTGCACAGGAAAAAGAGTTGCGATGGTGAGTAGAAACCTTAATATTGTTATTTTGTTTTGAGTTTGGGAAGTCAGGCGACCAGGTGGCTCAGTGGTTAGCACTGTCGCCTCACAGCAAGAAGCTCACTGCTTCGAGTCCCAGCTGGCCCATTTGGCATTTCTGTGTGGAGTTTGCATGTTCTCCCCATGTTGGCGTGGGTTTCCTCCAGGTGCTCCGGTTTTACAGTCTAAACACATGCGCTATAGATGAATTGCGTAAACTAAAATTGCCGTAGTGTATGTGTGTGTGTGTGTGTGAATAAGTGTGTATGGACGTTTCCCAGTACTGGGTTGCAGTTGGAAGGGCATCCGCTGTGTAAAAAAAGGCTGGATAAGTTGTCGGTTCATTCCGCTGTGGCAACCCCTGATGAATAAAGGGACTAAGCCGAAGGAAAATGAATGAGTGAATGGAAACTGTGCTATATATTATCTGATTTTAAAAATAAGACAACATAGATAAGTAGCTGGATACTCACATGCAAATCTGATATATGGTAATATATGCAAATTATATACATGACATAACAAGTTCAGTTTTGCTCTGTGTTGGGGTGGGTTTCCTCCGGGTGGCTTTTCCCCACAGTCCAAACACATTGGCCGTAGTGTATGAGTATGTGTGTGAATGAGCGTGTATGGGTGTTTCCCAGAACTGGGTTGCAGCTGGAAGTGAAAATATGCTGGAATTCCGCTCGGAAAACCTCTGATAAATCAGTGACTATGCTGAAGGAAAATGAATGAATGTTGTATTATCATCAGACACCACAGAGAGAGAGAAAACTGGTGTGCAGGTACAGGAGAGGAAGAGGGAACCCGCTGATGCTCTTCAAAGAGGAAGTGGAGTGGGACCAGCCGATGATCCTACGATACCATGACTTTCTTTCTGAAGGAGAGATCGACACCATCAAAACACTGGCCAGACCCAAGGTACATGCAGATTTAATATGCTAAATAGACATAAACGCTTAATGTTGTATGATAAAATTGTGGTAACGTTTTACAATAAGGTTGTATTAGTTGATGCTCGTTAACGGCTCGTTTCCAGTACGGTACGGTTCGGGTCGGTATGGGTCACCTTTATCAGGCTTGCGTTTCCTCTACCAAGGGCACCTTTTTGGTGGGCGTGGTGTATGACAGAGAGTTTCAGTCGCATCATTCTCGCTCGAATAAATATCTACAGTAAGCCTGCACAGGTCACTCACATATCATATGAGAAGCACTTCTCACAAAACAGACGCTTTGTTACTAACTTTTCTATGAACAGGATTTGATTATAACTGCAGATTAATGACAGCGTGAAATAGCCTACTGTAACGTCTGTAATTATATTAAATAAATAAATAAATGAACATATATGAACACATACAGACCCTTACAGTCTCCGATATGTTACCAACTACAGAAGAACTTCACACAGCAGACATTTAGTCCTTATTTAGGTTCAAAAACAACACAAAGTTTAGCCTACAGTGTAAACCTCTTATCTGTGTCTGTAATCTTCAGCAGCACGTTTAGCCTCTGTTAGACAGTCACTCCATCATTCTGAGTTCATAATAGTCCAAAAGGTGATGGTAATAGTTAAACAAGGCAGTTTGTTCACATTTGCTGAAGAAATAATGTGCTTCTTTTTTTCCGACTTCTTTTTTTCCGCGCTTCACTCTCGCGTTTGTCAGTGTCTGACAGGATCGGGTTTCAAAAGCTTGTCATTAATCAAGCCCACGTTATTATCATCAGTTCAAGAAGTTTGTTATTTTAGATATAGACGTGCGGCAAGCGCAAGCAAGAAAGTGAAAACGCTCGCGCTTCAGACTGGCTCGTAAAAACTACGAGGCACAGTGTAGATTGTGTTCTACTCCATGGCTTTGTGGCTGTTCATCAAGACGATGACAAGGTATGTTTGAGCCTGGATTGACCATGGCTCGTTATTATATATATATATATATATATATATATATATATATATATATATATATATATATATATATATATATATATATATATATGTATATATATATATATTATGCTGTAATCTCTCGGCTGTGTATTTTAAACATGGCAGCTCTTTTATTTTCATTCTGGCTTGTTGCGTAAGCGAATTACGTATCTCTGTAAACCAATATCGTACAGCTGCGCGTCTAGCTCCACCTTTTGGTACCCTTTCTCGTGTTTGGTACCCTCAAAAGGGTGCTGAAAAAGTGGTATGGTACAGTTCGGTTCAGTACGCCTTTTGACAGTGGAAACGGTCATAAAAGCGTACCAAACCAAACCGAACCGTACCACTCAGTGGAAACAGGGCAATGCTAACGCTAATGCTAACATAAACAACCAAAGAACATTTATTATAATATATTTATCGCTTTATTTATTTATGTTAGTTAACATTACTTAACAGAAATAGTTAACTCATGGTGCATAAATTTGGATGTTAGTAATGCATTAGTAAATGCTGAACTATGATTAATAAAGGTTGTACAAGCATTGTTCATTATTAGTTCATGATAGTAAATACATTAACTAATGAAACCTTATTGTAAAGTGACTGACCCATAACTGACTATTGCTGATTAATAATAAACATCTAATTAAGATGATTTGCATGTATTCTGTCATGTCTAACACAACTCTAATGTCTGTTTTAATGTAGCTTTCCAGAGCTCAGGTCATTGATGCAGTCTCTGGGAAAAGGGTTTCTGCTGCGTCCCGTGTGTCACAGAGGTACTGTACGCCCCTCCACGCCATATTAAAATGTCATTTTATCCCAATAGTGTCTTTCCAGAACTCTATTCTTCTTTTTTTTCTCTTATAAAACATAAAAGCTGGTATTTTAAAAATATTTTAATTGGAAGTGGTTTTTAATTCCCAACATACTTCAAAATATCCTCTTTATCAAAGTGCCCTTTGGTGGACAATATATGCCATTTAGAATGCACCATCACTGAATATTGTTTGTCTGTTTGTATTATTTTGTTGAAAAAGTCATGGCTTCCAAACCAAAGTGCTCAAAACTGGCCTCTTCAAAAGGCCCTTCAGCATGGTGGATTTTGAAAAATAGAACTGATGGACACTTCAAGGCTTGATCCTTTAAGCTGGGAAGTTGTTTGGTGTCACAAACTGCCCTCAGTTCGGAAGGGCTCATCTCTATGCTCTGACCCCTACAAAGGGCCCTCCCAAGGGATTAGGGCATTGGGTTGAGACCTTCTGAATGGAACCCAGTGACAATATTTCAGTTGTGTGGCAGCTGGTATGCATATAGTCAGCCTTTAGTGCTCAAAATTAATAATTCCATTGTTTATAATCAGACTTGATAAAAGCAGTCTGGAGAAACACTTTGATTGACATTCTCCCTTTGTAAGTGTCATCAGAGGGGGAAAGCCCCACCCACTAGTGACCATCTCTCCCTCATTAGCATAACATGTTTGTCTTGTTTTTAAATCTGCCACTATGCTGACACACAGACATTTGTTGCTCCGCCCTTTTTTGAAAAACACAATCTCATTTGAATTTAAAGCGACATTCACTAAAATTAGGATCAAAGCCTAAAAGGGTCAGTTTCCAAGAGTTATAAAACATTATCTGTGGGGTATTTTGAAGCTGAAACACACACACACACACGCACGCACGCACACACACACACACACACACACACACACACACACACACACACACACACACACACACTAGGGACATCAGAGACTTATTTTATCGTGCAAAATGGGGCATAATAGGACCTCTTTAATGTCTGTCCTCTTCATTATACATGTGTCAGTGCGTGGCTCTATGAGGATGAAGATCCTGTGGTCACTCAGGTCAACCAGAGAATCGCTGATGTCACTGGACTGGAGCTACAGACAGCGGAAAGCCTCCAGGTATTCACAGTCCTCATGAGGCTGCAAATATATATATATATATATATATATATGCGATATATATGCGATATATATATATATATATATATATATATTGCAGTGGCGCAGTGGGTAGCACGTTCACCTCACAGCAAAAGGGTTGCTGGATCGCTGGTTCGATCCTCGGCTCAGTTGGTGTTTCTGTGTGGAGTTTGCATGTTCACCCTGCGTTCGCGTGGGTTCGCGTGGGTGCTCCGGTTTCCCCCACAGTCCAAAGACATGCGGTCCAGGTGAAATGGGTAGACTAAATTGTCCATAGTGTATGAATGTGTGTGTGGATGTTTCCCAGAGATGGGTTGCGGTTGTAAGGGCATCTGCTGCGTAAAAACTAGCTGGATAAGTTGGCGGTTCATTCCGCTGTGGCGACCCCAGATTAATAAAGGGACTAAGCCGACAAGAAAATGAATGAATGAATATATATATATATATATATATATATATATATATATATATATATATATGATAAGCCTTTTCTAATTTTCTACTTTTTAGGTGCTAAATATATACCTTTGAGGATAAATATGTACCTTTGTAGCTTTCGAAAAGGTACTACCCCAGCTTTTTTTATTTAATTTTTTATTTTCAGATTGCAAATTATGGAATCGGAGGCCAGTATGAGCCACATTACGACTCAAAGGTAGAAAACTCTATTATTGTGTTAACATTTTTTAATTTATATGTGCTATTGCGGTGCTAATGCCACTTGAAATCAGTGTAACCGAGGATCTACTGTGCTTTATTTCAATCCATTTATTTCTCCTCAGTTGACAAATGACTCAGACTTTCAGCTCAGAGGAGGCCGGATTGCTACTGTCCTTATCTATGTATGGATGCAATCTATGTAATATGAATTAATTCACATAATATACAGTATTTACATCAGCTGCTGTGTTGTAGATGAGCGACGTGGACATTGGTGGAGCAACAGTTTTCCCTGATGTTGGAGCAGCACTTCAGCCGAAGCGAGTTAGTTGAAGCTTTATTTTACATCTGTTAAGAGTTCAACTGACTGTAAACTCTACTCACACGTGTATAATTGTGTTCTTTAAGGGTTCAGCAGTGCTGTGGTTTAACCTGCTGAGGAATGGGAATGAAGATATCCGAACTTTACATGCAGCATGTCCTGTGTTTGTAGGCAGTAAATGGGGTATGTGTTTTGTAATAAGTCTGTCTTCTTGTGAATATTGAGGTAAACTCAACCAGGCCAGGCATTTACATAATTAACAAATAATAATTTTGTATTTCATCAGTTCTTATAGTTCTTATAGTTCAATAAATAGTGCCACAGACATGAGGCCTGTTATACAAAACTAATTGAACAAACTTCAGGTTGACAAAATCAAACTAATCCAAACGGTTGGATCAGGTTAAGTGGTTTCACAAGGCTTGATAAAAACTTTATCTATTAATTTTGGGTTTAACCTAGAGAAAGTGTGACACATACAGTAAACAGCCAATCACATAAGTGCAGCAAACAGCCAATCACAACACATGAGTGCAGCAAGCAGCCAATCACAACACATGAGTGCAGCAAACAGCCAATCAGAACACCTTATTGTAGCAAACAGCCAATCACATGACACATGAGTGCAGCAAACAGCCAATCACAACACCTGAGTGTAGCAAACAGCCAATCACACGACATATGAGTGCTGTAAAAAACCAATCATGACACATGAGTGTAGCAAGCAGCCAATCACATCACATGAGTGCAGCAAGCAGCCAATCACAACACATGAGTGCAGCAAACAGCCAATCACAACACATGAGTTTAGCAAACAGCCAATCACAACACATGAGTGCAGCAAACAGCCAATCACAACACATGAGTGCAGCAAATAGCCAGTCACGACACATGAGTGCAGCAAACAGCCAATCACGACACATAAGTGCAGCAAACAGCCAATCACAACACATGAGTGCAGCAAACAGCCAATCACGACACATGAGTGCAGCAAACAGCCAATCACAAAACATGAGTGCAGCAAACAGCCAATCACGACACATGAGTGCAGCAAACAGCTAATCACGACACATGAGTGCAGCAAATAGCCAATCACACGACACATGAGTGCAGCAAACAGCCAATCACGACACATGAGTGCAGCAAACAGCCAATCACACGACACATGAGTGCAGCAAACAGCTAATCACGACACATGAGTGCAGCAAATAGCCAATCACACGACACATGAGTGCAGCAAACAGCCAATCACGACACATGAGTGCAGCAAACAGCCAATCACACGACACATGAGTGCAGCAAACAGCTAATCACGACACATGAGTGCAGCAAACAGCCAATCACAACACATGAGTGCAGCTATCAGCCAATCAGGACAATGAGTGCAGCAAACAGCTAATATAGCTTGAGCAGCATATGTTATGCAACCCAGTACTGGGAAACGCCCATACACTCTCATTCACACTCATACTCTACGGTCAATTTAGTTAATTCAGTTCACTTATAGTGAACGGGACTGTATTTGTTGGACTGTGGGGGAAACTGGAGCACCCAAAGGAAACCCACACCAACACAGGGAGACCATACAAACTCCACACAGAAATGCCAACTGACCCAGCCGAGGCTTGAACCAGCGACCTTCTTGCAGTGGCGTAGTGGACGGGCCCGCAGGGCACGCACCGCGGGGGGGGCCCGCGTGATTAGGGGGCCCCACGTCGTCGCGATTTTTAATAATTGAAAATCCAGGAACCGCAATAATCAAACTCTTGGGAACAACTGTGGTCGGAACCAAAGTTTACAGGTCTGTGTTCTCTGAACTCCGCTCAGGCGGTGGACTACTTCATTCTGATTGCTTGCCGCCGAACCGCGTCATAGCCAATGAAGACGCGCCGCTGTTTCTCGCCGCCGGTTCTCGTTAAAAAATGAATGACTTCTGGCTACTTTGACGCTCTCGCCACTTTCGGTTTGTGATCGCTCCTCAGTTTGTGAAGGATTCCCCGCGTTGTCACGCCACTCCGCCTCCTTTCCCCGCTCCTCAATTTGTGACATAGATATATACACTAGATATTGCATAGGGACCCTGAGCATGCGTCTATAGCGCCGCCACATTGGTACAGTGCTCCCAGGACAAATGTCATTCAACCGCACTAGTCAAGACAGTGTTATTACGTGAAGATGCAGGACTTAAGCGCCGTCTACGAGTGTAGTAACGAGCAAACAAAGAAAACAAAGCACAAAGGCAGAACATTTCATAGGATTAAGTTTTTTACGTTTTTGTATGTTTTAAAATTTGTGCTAAACAGGTCACGTTATTGATAATAATAGCTATAGTCACTTACTGCATTCACCATAAGGCAAAGTAGCACCAACTCGCACTAAACACTCGGTTTATGCTAGGTTTGTTGAATAAATCAGCAAACAATGCAAAAGAAATATGACAAAGAGATGCTGCGCTGCCAGAAACTTGTATTAATGTCGGCTAGTGAACGAGTCGTTCATAACGGAGATTCATTCACAAACGAATCGCTCCCTCCGTCAGTATGAGCAGTGAAAGCAGGAGAGGAGCTGTGTTTCAGGACATGATTAGATCAAATTTAACAGGGAGGGTGAATAGTACATTTCCATACACACAAACACAAGCTTTTTGTCAGGAATGCCCGTGCGATAAGTGATCCATCAATGTAGAAAAGTGATGTCAAATAAAAATTTTCATCATTAAAAAAAAAATGCATACTAACATCCAGGAAAACTCCCGATCATAGACATATGTGTATATGTGTATATCTATGTGTATATCCCCCCCCCGCCTTCAACTGGGGGCCCCGTCAGTGATCCCTGCAGGGGGGCCTCCGCATTTTGCGCTACGCCACTGCCTTCTTGCTGTGAGGCGACAGTGCTAACCACTAAGCCACTGTGTTGCCTAAGGAGATAAATGTACTGAAATACCAGGCTTGAGTTTTAGAGAGGCTGCATGTATCAAGATGACTGGAAAATATCTGCACTATACACACTGTAACACTGATTTCTTTGATTTCCTTATTTCAGTGGCCAACAAGTGGATTCGTACGTATGGGCAAGAGTTCAGAAGAAAGTGCTCCACAATCAAATCTGATTAAAACACCCAGATAAGAGAGAGAGAGAAAATAAATCATGCTCCAAGATGCAGTGAAGAGACAATGTGATGTTATGAAAAAAGTGTGTATATTATTATTGATTATAAGCGTTAAATAACACAGATATTACCAATATTATTCTGCTTGAGATTGCTGTTTCATCCACATTCCTGCTATTCACATTTTTGTACTTTTTGTCTTCTGTGTTTAGCGTATGTTGTTTTGCACACTTAACAATAAAATAACAATAATTTTGTCCACCACTACCACTATCTATCCATCCATCCATCCATGCATCCATCCATCCATCCATCCATCCATCCATCCATCCATCCATCCATCCATCCATCCATCCATCTATCTATCATCTATCTATCTATCTATCTATCTATCTATCTATCTATCTATCTATCTATCTATCTATCTATCTATCTATCTATCTATCTCTATCTATCATCTATCTATCATCTATCTATCATCTATCTATCTATCTATCTATCTATCTATCTATCTATCTATCTATCTATCTATCTATCTATCTATCAATCTTTCCATCCATCCATCCATCCATCCATCCATCCATCCATCCATCCATCCATCCATCCATCCATCCATCTATCTATCTATCTATCTATCTATCTATCTATCTATCTATCTATCTATCTATCTATCTATCTATCTATCTATCTATCTATCTATCTGTCTGTCTGTCTGTCTGTCTGTCTGTCTGTCTGTCTGTCTGTCTGTCTGTCTGTCTGTCTGTCTGTCTGTCTGTCTATCTATCTATCTATCTATCTATCTATCTATCTATCATTCCATCCATCCATCCATCCATCCATCCATCTATCTATCTATCTATCAATCCATCAATCAATCTTTCCATCCATCCATCCATCCATCCATCCATCCATCCATCCATCCATCCATCCATCCATCCATCCATCCATCCATCTATCCATCACTCTATCTATCTATCTATCTATCTATCTATCTATCTATCTATCTATACATCAATCAATCTATCTATCTATCTATCTATCTATCTATCTATCTATCTATCTATCTATCTATCTATCTATCTATCTATCTATCTATCTATCTATCTATCTATCTATCTATCTATCTATCTATCTATCTATCTATCTATCTATCTATCTATCTATCTATCTATCTATCTATCATCTCCCTCTCTGCTGAAAGACTGCAGTGAGTGACCTGTGAATGTGATGAGGTCATTATGACAGTGGTAGTAGGCGGGGACACGCAGCATCCGGAGGCGGAGCCACGCAGCATCACTCTGACAGCGGCAGGAGGGCGGTGTTACGCAGCATCATCTGAGCTGCTCGTCGTTTTATTGTACGGCTGCTGATGCTGAGAGGTCGAGCTGAGAAATATATATAAACCATGGTCGCGGATTTAAGCTTTGCAGACCGCGTTGCATCGTGGCGGACTGTTTTCTAGGTAAGCAGAGCTTTATTCTTGGCGTCTTTGAGTCGCGGGTGTTTTAATTGGACGAGCGCTCCGTCGCTGAGATGGATGGAGAAATACTGATTATAGCAGATGCAGATGGCTGGAAAACACACGGAATTAGGCCACGCTATGAAAGTATGAATTGGTTGTGTTTTATGATGGTGTTTGCTCGTGTGATGTGCTGTGTTTGTGTGGATGTGTGTAAGACAGTGAATGGGCGAGCTCGGCCTGCGTGTGATTCAGCCTCTCTGCAGGCCTGAGGAGACACTAATGCGGTGCTTTACACACACTATACACACACTTATACACACACTGTACATGTCTGCATTTATTCTGCTCAATAGCGTACAGATTTCACCACAGGAGGATCATTTGACAGGCCTGAGGCGAACTGTCACATGAACGCGACGACGGTGTCAAAACACAAATGTGACTCAATATAAAAAAAGATATTGTTAATAATTGTCTTAAAGGGGTTAGTTCACTCGAAAATGGAAATTCTGTAATCATTTAGCCTACTCAAGCTCCACTTATGTCCCGGACATGTTTGAGTTTCCATTGAACACGGTTATTTTGAAAATTGTAACCGTTGACTTACTACTTGCTTTTCCCATTGATGGACGTCAACGGTTACAGGTTTTCTAACGTATTTCAAATAATTTTTGTGTTCAACAATAAGGGAATGGGATATAATTTTTGTTGAACTACCTCTTTGACGAAAAAGTTTGCCCGAAAATGAAAATTTGTTCATCGTTTAGGCTATTCAAGCTCCACTTGTAAAGGGTTGACTTTGATCAAAACCCAACGTCATGGCAATGTCCAACCTAAAAGCATCAAAATATCAACTTCTAATGAAGTTACAGCTTTACGTTATGTGGATGTTACCACTATGACGTCTATCAATCGTTGGATTTTGGTTGCCATGCCCAAAGAATAAATGTCAGTATTTGATGTCAATATGACGTCGGTTTAAGATGTTAGCTCGACGTTTGATTTTGGTCACTTCTGAACACAACCTAAATCAACCAAATATTCGCGTCATTTGACTTCATTATTGGACATCAAAGTAATGTTGTCCTTAGACGCTGACTAGAAATTTTGGGTACCTGATGTCACAACCTAAATCTAACTTAATATTAAGGTCTTATAGCATGGCATTGTGTGCCTGCTGGGTAGTAAGTAAATTAAATTTTTTGAGCGAACTATCCCTTAAATAAAAGTTTACCCTAAAATGAAAATTCTGTCGTCATTTAGGCCATTCAAGCTCCACTTGTTCACAGACATGTTTGAGTTTATGTTTTTCTATTAAACACAGTTATTTAGAAAATAGCTGGAAACCATTGACACTCATAGCACTTGCTTTTCTCATTCTGGAAGTTAATGGTTACAGGTTTTCTAATGTATTTTAAAAAATTCATTTCATGTGCAACAAAAAAGGAATGTAATGTAATTTTTGGGTGAACTACCTCTTTGACTAAATAGTTTGCCCGAAAGTGAAAATGTGTTCATTGTTTAGGCTATTCAGGCTCAAATTGTACACAGTTTGAGTTTATAATCTTCTGTTCAACACGGTTATTTTGAAAATAGCTGTAATCCATTGACTCCCATAGTACTTTATCCGTAGTTCACACAAAAATGAAAATACTGTCATCATCTACTCATCCTTTTCTTGTTTCAAACCTTTATGAGTTTCTGTCTTCTGTTGAACAGAAAAGAAGATATTTAGTAAAATGTTTGAAACCTGTAACCATTGAGTTCCATAAAATTTCAATGTCAATGAACACAGATTTTCAACATTCTTCAAAATATCTTCTTTTGTGTTCAACAGAAGAAAGAAACTCAAAGATTTTGAACCACTTGAGGGTGAAAATAAAAAAAATGAAATAAATAAAAACTAAATAAAATGATATATATATATATATATATATATATATATATATATATATATATATATATATATATATATATAATAAATAAATAAATATATATAAGTAATAAAGTAAAAAATAAAGTAAATAAATATATAAATAAATAAAAATGAAAAAAGAAATATATATATATTAAATGAATAAAAACGAGATAAATTATATATATATATATATATATATATATATATATATATATATATATATATATTAAAGTAAATAAATATATAAAATAAATATAAAATAAATAATTAAATATGAAATAAATAAATAAAATATTTATATATTAAATAAAAAATAATTCATAAATAAAATAAATATTTAAAAATTATGTTTTTTCAAAAGTATATATGTAGCGTATAATATTAGCTGTTACTTTTTATTTATTTATTTATACATAATTGAAACAAAAAAATAGATATTCACTTGAATTTATTTCGGGCAACCAAAAACTCCAAAAACCCTGCATGAACGGATTACCTGGGAGAGAGAGTCCTGTTGCATGTTTTGCGGATGCAGAATGCACCCTTAGAATTGTTTGTGTGTGTGTGTGTGTGTATGTGTGTGTTTATTACACCATTGCCCAGCTTTTTTTCTTTTTTCATTACATGGGTTGAACTGACCTATGTATAGTAGTCACCCTGAGTGATTATGTGTGTGTTGTCTGGAGTTTGGTGTCAGTGGATGAATGTAAAAGTGGGTCATGATGCCACTGTGTTTGTACGTTTGCCTCATGCGGGCAGGAAATGGGCCAGAACAGCTGAAGGGAAAACCAACTGTATCATCATCCCATTACCATGCTCCGCTCTGCTCGTCCTCTCTAATCAGATGGATATTTTACTATATAAAATGAGCACAATTTATAATTTCAGAGTTCAGCCAGGTTACCACATCAGTCAAATGCTTTATAATGCAGTTACTTTCATTATGTGTTTTCCCTTCCCTGCAAGCTATTTACTTAAGTCAAAATTATTCACCCTCCTGTGAATTAGTTTTTTTTTTTAAATATTTCCCAAATTATGTTGAACAGAGCAAGGAATCTTTCCCAGTATTTTCTATAATATTTTTTCTTCTGGAGAAATTCTTATTTGCTTGCTTATTTGACTTATTTCGGCTAGAATAAAAGCAGATTTTAATAACTTTAACACCATTTTAAGGTCAATAATATTAGCCCCATTAAGCAATATTTTTGTCCCATTGTCTACAGAACAAACCACTGTTAATAACATGCCTAATTGCCCTAATTAACCTAGTTAAGCCTTTAAATGTTACTTTAAGCTGAATATACTAGTATCTTGAAAAATATCTAGTCATATTTTGCCTTAAAGGCAAAGATCAAAGTAATCAGCTATTATTAAATCTTTTTTTTCATTTAACAGAAATTAATTGGGGAATAAAATATACAGGGGGTCAATAATTCTTTAACTCTATATGAATATTTGTTTTATTTCATATAGTATAAACAGTTATTAATATTCATTTAGTTCCCACTTTGTGTTTAATCCACATAATAAAGCATAATAAACATGTTTCTTTGCATTATAATAAATTAACCTCTCTTAGCACAACGGTGAAATATGGTAATCATGGCCACAATGCTCCATAAAATATATCTAAATATATATCTTGAGCACCATCTCATCACATTTTAAACATGGAGAATTGTAGAGGTTTGAGTATGATTTGATTGCTAAACGGGCTTCAATCCATGTCCACACTTATTCTTGGTTTAAAAAACAATAATTTTTAATAATTTGGCCTTCCGTCCACACTGAAATGGTGTTTTGGCAACGAAATGGAATGGCAGCGAAAATGTATTTCTTTAAAAATGTTCTCTAAAGCAGATGAATTTTTAATCATAGATATATACATTGGATGTCGCCTATTCTGTTGTTGTCTGATGGAAGGAATGCGTCAATAGAGCCGCCATTTTGGAACAGGGTAGCGCTCCTTTGAATTGAATGCGGGACCAAGGTACAGTGGAGGACTGTGGCCATCCAAAGCCAGAGATAAACACATATACACATATATCTATGATCAGGAGTTTTCCCGGATGTCAGTATGAATTAATTTTTTTAATCAAGAAAATTATAATTTTAATTTTAAAATTATAATTTTGTTCATTCCTGACAAAAAGCTTGTGTTTGTGTGTACAGAAATGTACTATTCACCCTGCCTGTTAAATTTGATCTAATCCGTGTCCTGAAACACACCTCCTCTCCTGCTTTCACTTCTCATACTGACGGAGGGAGCGATTCGTTTGTAAATAAATTGCCGTCATGAACGACTCCTTCACTAGCCGACAATAATACAGGTTTCTGGCACCGCAGCATCTCGTTGTCATATTTCTTTTGCATTGTTTGCTGATTTTATTCAACAAAACTAGCATAAGCCGAGTGTTTAGTGCGAGTTGGAGCTGCTTTGCCGTATGGTGAATGCAGTAAGTGACTGTATTATCATCAATAACGTGACCTGATTAGCACAAAAGTTCATGACGTACAAAAACGTAAAAAACTTAATCTTACCTATGTATTGTTCTGCCTATGTGGTTTGTTTTCTTTGTTTGCTCGTTACTACACCCTTAGACAGCGTTAAAGTCCCGCATCTACATGTAGTAACACTGTCTTGACTAGTGCGGCTGAATAACACTTGTCCTGGGAGCACTGTACCAATGTGGCGGCGCTATTGACCCATGCTTAGGGTCCCTATGCAATATCTAGTGTATACATCTATGGTTTTAATAACCAATTTTCAAGCATTTTCTGCAAAAAACAACAAAACAAAAAACTGTGTGAACAGACTTTCAAAAATGATGATGCGTTTTTTTGTTCATATGACCAGTTCAGCTTAAATGGTGGAGGCCAATTGTATTCTCTTTATTCTCGAGTATTGTTGCTGACCATGTTCATCCCTTTATGACCACAGTGTACCTATCTTTTAATGGCTACTTCCAGCAGGATAACACACATGTCATTAAGCGCGAATCATCTCAGACTGCTTTCATGAACATGACAATGAGTTCACTGTACTCAAATGTCCTCCACAGTCACCAGAGCTCAATCCAAT